TTAACATTATACAAGAATTGTACACGTTTCTTTCTACATCCCCTTGAAGACGGGACGTACGAAATCGTAATATCACTGGATTAACATTGAAATCCGCGAGTAATATAAAATCGGAGAGCGGAATAAAAATAGCAAATATTTTAACGGATATTTTTAAACTCCCGTCAACTATACAGAAAACTATCGTAAAAACATACAGGTAAATTCTTATCGGTCGGGATAAGTTATAAAATCTACTCGCGATTCGCGTAATCGGGCGAGGGCGGCCAAATATCTAGCGGGCGGGCGGATAACGGCCCGGATAGAATTGGATGCGTTATACGTATGTAGCCTCCACCCAATGTCCTAGGCTTCCGCCAGCTAAACCGGGTGAGGTTGGTGTTCTATAAAGCGCGTGCACGAATCTGGCTTTTTGGATGCCCACCAGTGGCCGAGTGGTCTCTGTTGCCGCTCATAGCGACGAACCTTCCAGTGTTTATGCCGCTCATAGCGACGAACCTCTCACGACGAACCTCCTAGTGTTTATGAGCGGCACAGTTGCCGCTCATAAACACTGGGAGGTTCGTCGTGGGTTCGCGCCACGATCGGACAGGCTGGCTGCTTGGAGTTTTCCGGGTTTTCTCCTTGCCAATAACGACTGAATAGGAGGCCAGTTCCCCATAAAAGTCCTCCCGGAAGGCATTATTTCCCGCGCGCGCGTATAGGCCGTTCGGATACGGCTGGCTCATCGGTCGCATAGCGATCGTAAACACGTGTCTAGTCGGAGAAAGAGCCTATAGAGCTAAAATCTCCATATAAACAACACCTGAGAAGAAAGGAACGGCTTTTTGGATACTGACAATACGGCACTTTCACTCTGCCACTAATATTCGAATATACAATAGTGATCTTATCTTTTTTTCGCGTGTAGTATAGAAATTTGTAATAAGATACGTAATGCGGTTATAATAAAATATTATGCGATTATTTTCGTATAATTAAAATTAATATGTACAGTAGAGCCTCGAAAACTCGGCCTAATGTGGGCCGAAGGGTGGCCGAGTTAGTGAAAATGCCGGGTTATCGGAAATAGGGTTAAATTGTATATTTATGTCCAAAAACGCAATTGTAGTAAGGTGTTTTTCTTTCAATTTAATAACAAAGGCATTACTGAATTTATTGATAAGGTTAACAGTTACACAGATGAACTGAAATTGAAATAATTTAAAATATAAGCCCGAAACACCTGTGCTTTTTAGTTATGAATAACACGAAACTGTAAATAGTGTAATAAAGTTAAGTGATGAAATTACATCGATATTTATGTTATTTTTCAGAAATTATATGAGAGATTGGCATTAACACTGTATAATGTGTTTCTGCCGTTATTAATACAAATAAAAGACTGCAAACAAGACTACAGAAACTATATGGAGTATGTAAATACAATACATAATAATTTAAAAAGAGAGAGAAATAATAAATGTTAATTTAAAAAATAAAATACAATCGGAACAAACTTCTTGCCAAATAATTCACCGAGAAATACCAGGTACGGAATATTTGAATTAGTAAAAATATATGAATTGAATAAAAATCATTTCATTTAATCAATTTTATATTATAAAACATGAATAATNCATTTGAAAATAGTAGGCGAGCCAAGAAAACAATTTCTGCATTTTTATGCATTTACGGATCCATTTTATGGTGAAAATGTCCAACAAATTTTTTTATCGAAGCGTTTATATTTAACTTAGGCATTGGCCTTTCTCTTTTAACTGTGAATTTCTCGATGTGCTGTCGAATGTTTCGAAAGCAAATGAAAAGCATACATCGCATATCTATACAGTATTGTTAAAACAGAAGTCAATGTAATACTACTGCTGGACATTTAAGATTTCTGTAACGATTTATTATAGAATTTAAAAACCTGGCGACGGCCTATAATAATAGGCTGAAAAAGTTTGTTCAATAAGCAATTTTTCTCAGCAAGCATTAGGTGGTGAAGGAAGATTGTTGTATTTCTCTGCTGAGTGCACTTTTTTTCATTTCACATTTCTAGTTTGAAAGTTTATAATATAAATGTATTGTAATGCTTCATGCGGGGCCAGGGCATGTACAATTAATTAATGTACCAATAAAAATATATTGAGTGAGTGAGTGAGTATAAATGTATTAATCAAAATCATTTATAGAACATGTGTTACTATATTTTAGTTCTCAAGCTAATCGTCAATTTTTTTATTTTGTCATTTCGTCATCTATGCGTGCTGCCTTCGTCGATAATCATGTATTTTTATATCAATATTTATACAGTATTGTGTTATAAGGTACAGTACTGTATCTATTTTTGAGCAGTCTACGAAGTCGAGCGTATCAACCTATAATATCACGCCTAAGTTCTCGTGTTTAACGGAATCGATATCACGCTACACTTAGTGAAAAAATGTTCAAATTTAGTGGGAAGTGGAGTTTGAAGTAGTAAGAATGTCTGTCATATCAAGCATTTTATTATCAAAACGTAGAAAATAGTGATACAGTAGCAGAATAGTCAGCATCTTTCTCCACAACTGTGTTATCTTTTTATAAGACAACACAGTCGTGAAGAAAGATTTAACACACTATTCAGTTAAGAAATAAACATTCAGATTCTAGTCATTTCCAACAAGTTGTAGATTTCTATCGAATTATAAATTGAAATTTTACAAATAAAATTACGAGTATTTCATAAATGATTAGAGAAACTAATAAACTAATATTTTTAGTATAAATCGTATTTATACTCTCAATTACAGTCGACCCTCCCTATAACACGGGTTCCTATAGTTCGGATTCCCATATCACGGCCAAAAAATTGCGACAGTATTCGTACAAACATGCTAAAAAAACTCCTATAATTCGGTAAAACGTCATCGCCGACTCGTGTCGCGACAGGATTGTACAAACCGTTGAGTTTAAACGAACAGCGGATCTACTAAAAACCATTTATTATTTAACGTACATAAAAATTATATTTATATTAATGATGTCTCTAAAGTTCAGCGAATTTTTCTCAAAAAAAATAATTTATCAGGAAGCACGCGAGCGCCATTCGACGGCAATCTTCGCGACGAAAACAAGCTGAAGCAACGACGTAGTCGAACGGTGCACACTCGGTAAGTAATCCTACAAATTTTTGTTTATAGCATAGTTTATACGGATTATTCCCAAAAATTATACGTATTTTGGAAATGTTGAGTCGAATTAGTCTAGAATCGATTAATTTTATGGAAGAAACCTTTCAAACAGCCGTAGTCCGTAAACTGCATACGCGCCGGGCTATGATTGGCTGGACTCGTAAGAAATGAATTTATAAAAACAGAAACGTATCTTCCGTGTTATAGGGGGGTCGACTGTACTTAGTTATTAAGTACAGTACAGTATATTAATAAGACTCGTATTTATTTTTATTGTGTTCTATGCTCTCAAAAAGGGCGGTGTAATTGTCTGGGCATAACACATGTTTTATTTTATTTTTGGATAATTTTCAGTTTAATTTCATACAAATTACTTAAAGAATTTTTAAATTTATGTAAAGTATTTTAAAATTAAAGTGTTTAAATTGCAGCAGCTTATTTTCCAAATCGATTAATTCTACAAAACAAAATGTAGAGAAATTGAAAAACAATTTATTTTATAATGTAAATAAATATTGTAGAATGTATTATTACAAGAGTAGCTTTTATCTAATGACATAAAATAGTAATGATTATTCCAAGGATATACTATGTATTTTTACATTTTTCACATAACTAAGAGAGTTAATTGATTTGGCATGTAAACGGTTCACTTGTATTTTGTTAATACTATTTATTCGTTAATATCTAATACAGTAGAGCGTCGATTATCCGAATCAATTTTGGACTGGGGTTGTTCGGAAGATCGGTGTTTCGGATAACCGATTATGTACGAAAAAATATGTTAACCTATCCCATTTTGAAATTTTTCTTCGTTGCGTGTCGCTTAGCGTTGAATTTTCGTCGATGTTAAGCCTAACGAAGAATATTGTATCCCTAAAAATTAATTTTTTATTTTGTACAAACAAAATAAATATATTGAAAAATATAAAAACAATAAAAAATTATACTTCAGAAGTTAATTTAGTATCAAAAACGTAAAATATTTGAGTAGCTCAAGACATAGCCAAAGATTGCAGCGCCACATCACTGGCGAAAATTTAAATTTGCCGACTGGAATTCTTTCGGATAATCGATGCTCTGCTGTATATGTTATTTCATTAAATTATATATTATTAAATGTATCGACAAAAAAATATTTAATTGATTTTAAATAACTGATGTTATTTTTTATTAATTTAAATGTTTATTGATTTTCTTTTTGATTTTTTATTAAATATCTGAATTTTGTTATCTACATTCTTTATCATTTATAATGAAATATTCAATATCTCAAAATATATTTATGGAGTAAAACGGGAAATTCTGTCAACTACCTTTTAAGTGCTTGAGAAGGAAAGTGATTTTTGTCAGGTAGGTGTGACGTATGTCCACCTATTACGAAATAAGCACATCGTCTAAATGAGTAAGGGTACTTTATGTCAATAATAAATTGGTGCTATTGCCCTATTATTGAAGCAAGTAATACGTGAGCCGTTCACAGCCCGGCACACGTATTTGTAAAATCTAAGTGACTCGTGCAACATGGAATTCATATAAAACGGAATAATCAACAGTGTTATAGGTGGATCGACTGTATATAAATAAACTTCTCGCCTAACAGCGATTCTCACGCCAGCTATCGGCAATCTCAGACATTAACTCTACTACGAGTATTAAGCGACCTCTAATTGGCGAAAATTTTAAATTTAACTATATTATATTTACTAAAAATATACTCAAATAATAAATTTTATGTTTATTTTGTAATTACTTTTCGCTTTTCACTTTTTAAAAAAAAATCACTCCAGGCATAATTCGTCACGTGGTATTACATATTACGTCATTAAATAACAACAGCGCTGCACGAGCTACCCATGCTTTGCAGAAGTATCTTGTCGATTTCGCGGTTTGTATTATGTAACGTGGCAGAAAGACAATACGAAAGTAACTGTTCAGTTTTAATTCGAATTTTTCGGAGTTTGTATTAAGTATAAGAATGTCTAACGAAGTTAACATTATATGTCAATATCTGGAGTTGTTGACAGCAGCTCGAACAGATAGTAAGTGTTTATAACATTTAAATGGAAGTTTATTAATAAATATGCCTAAAATATATACAAATTTTAGGTAAAATCACCTACACAACCAAATAAATATAACTTTCGTAGCTTTTAAACTAAATCAGAATAAGTACTTTTTAAATTGCCTAATTTTTGTATCTACGGTTTGTCCACAAAGTTCTATGCTTGAGACATGTCTTAGTCTCTTAGAATATATCTTTATAATAAATTCAATGGATCTAATGTGGTTTGCTCTCCTTGAAGTATGTAACAAAGTGAGAATTTTTGTCTTACTGATAGAGCCGTAATTAGACATTTATCATTGAGAATGAGGAAGCTGATTTTTCGGCCTGATACTGATAGTTCGTACAAAATACCGATCGAGAATGCTGGTTCTCCTTTCCCGTTCTCTCCATCCCTCGCTTGGCATGATTTTGTTGACATTGGGAGGAGTAGATGCCATCTCAAACTCCCATTACCTCTGCCCTGGTTACCAAAAGAAGAAACTTAACTCGCAACACCCAACTTCGGTTGTGTAATGAGTAAACGACCTTCGAGTTTAGAAACTCTAGTTTGGTTAATATGAATGCGAATAACACTATACTACCCAGCTCAACTCTTGAAATAACTCGTTTTGATGCATATGGTGTTAGAGGTCAAAAATGAAACATATGTTAAACCCAACTACTTCTGGGCCCTCAACCCATTGTGAGAGAAGTGTGAAGATAGAGTGATCTTTATACTTGTGTCACAATGGATTTTGGAAATAGACCAAATCCAAAAGTTGCAGTAGCATAGTTAATAAAGATTCTAACTTCAGCTCTTGAGGTCAAAGTGTAATATTACTTTCTCATTTTGACTTCTTAGTGCCTGTTTTTCTTTGCTTAGTCCCCTCAACAAAGCAAAATACAACAAATCAAATCCATATATGGAGTAAAATACAATGTTTGAGACTATCAGATTTATTCATTTTTGAACATATATGGTAGACAGCACTTTGGCAGCTGTTATTTACATCTTTGCTCGGAATAAGTGTGATGTTTGCATCCTTTATATTTACCACAATATAATCCATTTCTCTGATCATATCTTGTACAGTCAGCATTTTGAACAACACTTCCCCTTTATTATTCTATAAGAATCAACAGTAAATAATTTTTGTAATTCTCTAATATAAATACAGAGCGTTGTTCTTGAATGTCTCTAGTTTTGTGGATTACTTTTGGGAAGTAATGGTACTGTTACTTTTGGGAGAATATAGTACTGTAGACAATGATACTAGAAAGTGCATCTGAAAAAGTTAATTACTATATTAAATCAGTAAATTTACACGTGTACTCCTGATGTGCAAGTATGTTAGGAGTCACTCCGTTAATGGGATCCACAATTCTTATATCTGAGGCTTTCACATCTGGCAATTCTATGATTCTTGACATGTCTATAAAGAAAAATCTTCAAAGTGATGATGTTGAGTGATCTGATGGACCGAGAAATGAGACCCCCCTGACAGTGTAGACCCTATGTCAGTGGTGATCTGGATTGCCATTGTGTGGTAGCATCAGCTCTTCTGAGTGTATGCTTATGACCTGGAATATTGACCAACTTTCCCCAATACATTTTATTCACATACCTGAACAAATGTATTTTATAGAACAGTTTAAAACTAGAGATGTTTGAGGGAAAAACCCAGTGTTTTGTTAATTTTTAATTATTAAGATTTAATTGCTATGAAAATATTATATATACGTACCCTGTACAAGTGTACAATTTTTCTTAAAACTATATATTTTTATTATTTAAGGTACAAAAGAAGTTTTGAATATTAAAGTCCAGTTAGATGATAGAATAACATCACTTCAACAGAAAGTTCTTGAAAATGAAGCCATTTGTGAGAAAATAAGAACGTACAACCAAAGTCTGTTGGAAGAAACAGAGAGAGACACTCTTGTTAAAGTTGTGTGGCTGTTCGTAGAGTGGTGTCTCGTGTTAATGTTGCTGTTGAAAGAAACACTTGAGATTAATAAAGAAGCTGTGATTCCAAAAATGAATGAAAACACAAATGTTCTGTATCCTGAAGGAGATATTTTAAGTATTTCGCAACAGAAGTCAGTTTCGTCGGCAATTCAGTTCATAATTGCTTTAGGTGTGAATCCAAGTCTATTACCGGGAGTTGGTCTTCCCATTCAAAATCGTACGCAATACGTTTCGATGATTCAGGAAGTAAAGCGTGATCTATTGCCACATCAAAAGTATTATCGGTTGATAGCATGTACTGTAGTATTATTAAATTGCATTAAAAGTACATCCATTGGAAATATTATTTTGTCTTCGTATTTTTCAGACATTCTGTGTGCTTTATTTCAGTTATGTTATGCTCCTATAAAAAAAGACGAGTCAGAATTAAAGGTAAGAATACTGTATTTAAAATATATTATAAACAAAGTTTATTTTTCATTAAACATGTGTAACTCTGAAACTAACTATTATTATAACAAGCAACTGTTATTATATCGTCACAACGCCAGACTGCAATTTTTAATTTATTTAACTTAAAATATATCCTCTCCACCTCAAATTAGTAGTGGCTTGCCCCTGTACATCATACTTCTCCTTTAACAAGTCATCTTTAACTGCTTTTAGGGGAAATGTTTTGAATTGAAATATTGTGACTTCTGGTTTGCATTGGAAGTTCATATATAATTAATATCTGGATTCTGATTTTATCTATCTAACTTTGTTCTCAAGATTAAGGAAAGACGGATGGACGACAGCGAGACAATTTTTTTAAATTGCAGTTCAATGAGTGCAAGCTTGAAAACTTCACTAACCATTTTTCCATGTGTTGTTGCTCCTACAACAACTCCAACCTTCTCTTTCCATTGTTTCTGTTATTCAGTTTTCTTGGTTAACTGTTTTTGTGTCCCATTATTCCCAACATTTTGACATACTTTTACTTTAATCACTATTATATTTATTGGTTTACATGTGCAATATTTATACAGTAATACCTCGGTTTTTGTTCACTTTGGTTATCGTCGATTTTGGTTTTCGCCAATTTTTTCTGCAGAAAATTTCTCTCGGTTTTCAGCATGCCCATGTGACCTCGCTGCTAATTTTGCAAAACCAAAGGGCGACCCACATGTGTTCCTGCTCAGTGTGGTGTTATTTCTCGTTGTGTGAGCATTACCCCGTGTGTCTAGCCAAACAATTCCATTGCTTTCCTTTTAGCTTCGTCATGGAACCAAAGAAAGTTTCCAGAGCCTGCAGCCTGTCGAATGCAAANGTTATTTCTCGTTGTGTGAGCATTACCCCGTGTGTCTAGCCAAACAATTCCATTGCTTTCCTTTTAGCTTCGTCATGGAACCAAAGAAAGTTTCCAGAGCCTGCAGCCCTTCGAATGCAAATGCAATGTTAAATGTTTTGTTAACGTTCATTTATTCTTTACATTAGTCTTTTATAATCATTTTATATTAATTACTTATTGTTTTTAGTATTAAGCACAATATTTATGCTCTATAAAATATGTATTTTGGAGTGTCTAGATCAAATTAATTGGATTTACATTGATTCATATGGAAATAATTGCCTCGGTTTTCATTGGTTTCGGACGGATTATCGATGAAAACCGAGTATCACAGTATATTTAGTGCAGATGTGTTACATTCATCAGAAAATNGACCCCCCTATAACACTGTTGATAATTCCGTTTTATATGAATTCCATATTGTACAAGTCACTTAGATTTTACAAATACGTGAGCCGTTCACAGCCCGACACACGTATTTGTAAAATCTAAGTGACTCATACAACATGGAATTCATATAAAACGGAATTATCAACAGTGTTATGGGGGGATGACTGTAAATAAAATTTAATTACATGTACCTATAAGAGAAAAAAAATTAGGTTATCTTGTCAAAATGTGGATAGTCTCCCAACACTTCTTAGCCATGAACGCACTTTTAAAGGAAAAGCAAATGCCACCTTTGGGCAAAATTGCATACTCCAATGTGCAAAACAAACAAAAATGTACATCACTCCGTACACAGGATCACTACAACAAAATAAATCAACATAAAATTACCTAAAAAATAATTTAATCTTTTGAATAAAATTAATTAAATCAAAATTACTTAAATTACCAATAAGGTCTAAAAAATTCTCAAACAGAATAATAGAAATACCAAAAGCACTTTCCCGAATTTTTTCTAAATTAGTACATTTAGCTATGACATGAAAAGCATCCAATAGCTGATCATCCCGACAATATATGCAAATTTCTCTGCGATAATTCTGTAAAAAATTAAGAGAGTTACATCTGATTTGCATTACCGTAGAGCTAATATTGAGAGAAAAATTATTATTATAAATCGAACAGTCAAAAAAAGATTTGTTTAAGTGTTTATACCAAACATATGAGCTTAAATTAATATGTCGATTCAAATAAAAAATAAATTTATTAAAATAATTTTAATTTAAGGTAGAGCAACAGTAATAATTATTTAGTAATTCATCAAAATTAATACCATTATTAACACAAATTTCCCTTAAACTCAGAATGAGTTTTATTAGTGGGATACATTTGATGACTACAGTACAGGTTGGCATTTAAAATTCTGGCAACCTCTAGACCTGAGAAGTGCCAGATTTTTGAAAATTCCGGAATTTTTATGGTTATATATACTGTATACAGAATCATATAGCAATGTGGAGTCGGAAATGCTTTCCTGATGTGGTAGATGGCATTGCGTGAAAGTTCCGAGTGTTCTTGCAGGGAATCGTCATTTCGCACAAGGACACCGAGTTAGCCGATATGCATTTGGTGTATGGTCCTGCAGATTGTAGTGGGCTATCGCACAACGCTTGTATGTGGAACAATATCTGATGAGGCATATTCCCAGCCATAATTTCTTTGCAAGCTTGCACCAGAGGTTAGCTGTTTCTGTGTACATCACCGCTTCAGGAAAGCATTTCCGACCCTGCATNAGGTTGGCATTTAAAATTCTGGCAACCTCTAGACCTGAGAAGTGCCAGATTTTTGAAAATTCCGGAATTTTTATGGTTATATATACTGTATACAGGGTGTCTCAGTTAAACTTTTCAGAACTTCTAAGAGAGGTAGGGTGCATCCCAATGACTCAGAATCATATAGCAATATGGGGTCGGAAATGCTTTCCTGATGTGGTAGATGGCGTTGCGTGAAAGTTCTGAGCATTCTTGCAGGGAATCGTCATTTCGCACAAGGATGCAGAGTTAGCCAATATGCATTTGGTGTATGGGTCTGCAGATTGTGGTGGGCTATCGCACAGCATATGTATGCAGAACAATATCCAATGAGGCGTATTCCCAGCCATAATTTCTTTGCAAGCCTGCACCAGAGGTTAGCAATGCAGGAAAGCATTTCCAACCCTGCATTGCTATATGATTCCGAGCCATCGGGATGCACCCTACCCCTCTTAGGAGTTCTGAAATGTTTAACTGAGATACCCTATATATTTAACAGAAAATAACTACCTATATAATCCTTTAAAGAAAGAAAATTAAACACTAAATGAAAAGCAAATGAAATTTTAATATTTATTAACTAAATGCCTCAAGGCGCCTCCAGAAAACAGTGGTGCGCCACTGCGGTAAATTTGAAAATGTGCTCCGAAATCCACACTAGAAATCTGAAGGAACCAGATTATCGATGGCTGAATTTTTGAATGTCAACCTGTATCCATATTTTAAAAAAATAATTTCTAAGTATAAATTAATATTTCTGATAAAGTATCCCACTAATAGTTAAATGAAAATCATTTGAACATCACTTGAGAATATGTTAGTTACATGACTGATTGCTATTAAATATGGGGCCATATTCTTGTCACTGTCTTTGGTCTCTCATCTCTCACAAGCTGGTCACTAATTGGCTAATCATTTGGCTTAGCCAATCAGCGACCTGCTTGTGAGAGATGAGAGACCAGAGACAGTGACCGGAATACAGCCCATGGTTTACTTTGTAATATTTGAATTGTATTTTATTTAGATGTAATACTGAAGAGGAATTAGTAAGATGGTGTGATTCGAAATGCATATATATTAGAGAGAGAATAATTAAAAAAAAACATATGTCAACACTAGCATTGTTAGTTGGTTTGCAATGGTTCTAGACAATTGACATTTGGAATAGAACATCTGATGATGATTGAAAAAGGATGATCAGTTGGTAAACCTAAAGGTTGAGAAAAAAAACAGATGATAAACCAAAATCTTATGATAAATTATGTGCCAGATAATTTTTCTAAACATGCCACTTTGAGCATGTGTGTCATAGGTTAGCCACTCCTGATCTCTGATCTAGGCAATCATCTGGGAAGAGTGGAACTTCTTCCAAATGGTACATCTGCCGTCATACTTGGGTGGAGCACAGATTATAGGAAATTTTTTTAACTTGCATGTAGATGTTTGCATAGCAGATGTTTGCATAGCAGTTTTCATGCCTTGCTGGCATGAAAACTGTAAAATAAGATCATACTGTAAGTTTTTTACATACACTACCCTACAATAATGGACTGGACACCTGTCAAGCTCAATGATGGTGGTGTTCTTGTTTGCGGGTGTTTTTCTTGGTATGGCCTGGGACCTTTGCACGTTGTTCCTGGTAAATTGAATGCCTACGCCTACATGAACATATTGGACAATCAAGTTCTTCCTATGCTCTGGCAATTTTATGGAATGGACGAATGTTACTTCCAGGATACAATGCTCCATGTCATGTTGCAGCCTCTGTCAAGCAGTGGTATCAAGATACAGATGTCAACCATATTCCCTGGCCTGCTCAGAGTCCCGACCTAAACCCAATAGAACATTTGTGGGACGAGTTAGAGCAACGCTTATGGACCAGCGAACCACATCAAAAATCTACAGCTGAGCTGATGACATTCTTGAAGTAAAAAATGGACACAAATGCCCATAGCTGTGTATCAAAACCTTGTTGAAAGTATGCCAAGAAGAGTTGCTAGTGTAATTGCAGCACATAATGGACTCTCCTCCTATTAAAGCATGTATTCTTTACCTTATGCCATCACATCTTGCTGTCCGATCCATTATTGTAGGATAGTGTATGTGTGAATACATATACCGTGTATATATTATACTAATGTAGTACTACAACAAGTACTATAACACTCACTATATAAAGGGTCTTCCAGAAAGAATTCTACTATTTTAAATTATTGTAATTATGATAATTATTATCCAAGAACATTGCAATGTACATTAAAACATTGGAAAAATGTCTAAGTTTCACATTTGCCCATTATAGTTTCTCAATGCATTCACCTCATGTTGCATGGCACACATCCAATTGATACTTAAATTCTTCTTACGCTCACTATGGCATATTTGTTGTCACTCCTCCCAGATTACTCACATTGCATCACGATGAATGATTCAGACTTTGTAAACTGTAAAATGCAAAGTCTTTTCACTGTTGTGGCATAACCATTTTCATTTATAGTGCTTCCTACAAGGGCTGTTCAAAAAGTATCGGACCTTTGGTCGGCAAAAATAAATTTATTGACTTTCAGGTACAAAACCCTAATCCCCTTCAAAGTAGTCTCCTTGGTAATGTATACACTTCTCCCAGCGTTCCTGCCATTNTGGTAATAAGAATTAAATTTATGAAAGTAAAGTGAAATTAAGTATATAATTTTATTTTTCCTTATAGAATTCAACTTCGGATAATTTAAATGAAAAATTTAATGTTAATATCACAAAACAACTCACTGTATCTGAACTCTTAAACAGATGTAATGGTAAGTATAAATAAAAAGGTAAAAACTAGTAAACTGAAATTTATTTATAAAATTTATGAATGTTTGAATGATATAACTATTTCAGTAGTTTTTAATATTTTAATAATCAATTTTAATTGATTTTTAAGAATTTATATATATATTTACAATAACATCAGTCAGTTGAAGTTGGATAACACCTGGAAAAAACGGAAACAACTCGAAAGATTATATTCTTGTACGATCTTCGAGGTTGTTACAAATAAAGTTGCCATTTTTCAAAATTAAAATTTTTCACTCTTTTAGTTCATTATTCAAGGTTAATGTTCATTATTCGACCATTTCCTGACATGTAAAGACCTTGGGGAAAGTCAAGAAACTCGACAAATGGGTACCATACAAACTTTACAAGAGAGATAAAGTGTATCATTTGGAGGTCTGCTATTCTTTGATTTGCTGGAACAAAAATGAAGGTATATTGTCACGTATTGTGGCTGGCAATGAAAAATGGATCCCGAATGAATCTAGTCAATGTTCTGCACAGTGAATAGATGTCAAAGTAGCACCGAAAATCAGCTTTCATTCATGCAAGGTTATGTTATCTGTATAGAGGTGCGATTCATTTTTTATTTCTGCAATAAGATGAAATGATTAATGTGAGAAATACTGTCAATAAATTGAAATGATGTATGATAAACTGAATATTTGGGAACCAGCATTAGTGAATAGATGCAGCTTACGGTGCAGTTGCACAATGATGCCAGACCATATGTTGCAAAGCAGATCATAAAAGAATTGATAGAATTGAACTGTAAAATTTCCCTCACCCTGCTTATTTTTCAGATATTTCTACAATGGACTCTCACATTTTTAAACATATTGATAGTTTTTGGAAAGGAAACTTCAAGGTAGAGGACACTGTAAAAACTGCATTTGATGACTTCTTGGCCTTTCCTTCTGATTTTTATCAATTTGGTATTAATGCACTTATATTGCATTGGAACAAGTGTATTTGAATTGATGGAGACTATTTTGATTAAATACATATGTATTGAGTTCATCAATAAACCTTCAAAGTCAAAAGTAAAAAAACAAGTAATTTCATTTGCAACAACCCAATGTATTACTAAATAAACCAAATGAAACCTTGATGATTTGTCGCATTTACATTAAAATTATTTTCTGGATTGTCAAGTTTTTTGCTTGGAATACTTAGTTACAGATCAAGTTGTTATGAAGTTAATTTTGTTCACTATATTGACTAGCTGGATGGCATAAGTGATAAAGGTGTTAGTCTCCCTGTCACTCTGGGTATCCAGGATTGAATCTGGATAGAAAACCCCAGGAATTTTTCATGGGAAGTCTGTCCGAGATATGTCTGATCCCATCCCTCACCATATGGCCATCCCATTGTGGGCCTGCAAAACCATGGTGAGCCCAAAAAATGTATACGTGTTTTCTAATTGAACTGAACATTTTTGAGCTCTACATCCAGCATCAGGATTAAACAAGGGAGACAAAGATTTCCTTACAATGCTACAGATTTCCTTGTAAAATTCAGTTAATGACAACAATACAATACTTATACTACTGTATAACACACAACTAAATATTAATTCCTAGTCCTGTTATCTTTAAAAAAATGTTAAATCAAATAAATTAACATTTTAAAAACTGGTTAGAGGTGATGGCCAAGCAATTAAGTTGACGGCCTACCACTCTGGGAATCCAGGATTGAGTCCACACAGGTGAAAAACCTCCAAGAATTTTTTGAGGGGTGGTCTGTCCAAATATGTCAGGCCCTGTCCCTCACCATCTATCTGTTCTATTGTAGACCTGGCTGAAATCGCAACAGGCTTGCTAAAAAGATCCTCTTAGTATCCACAGGGCAGAAAGACTTAAAACCTGGTAGGATGAAACATTTCTCTGGTAGTAGGTAAAATCACCAAACTCACAATTAGTCCAGCAGTTGTCAAAATTATCACCTTTCTGACGTTTTTCACGCACTCTGTATTACATAATATGGCATGCCATGCACATACCAAATAATATGGTATGCATCCTTGCACCAAGCAAATCTAAGACAAATTTGTGCAACATCAGGAATATTAGTATCTGTTTTAACAAGCCAAATTATGGGTTCAGCCAGGGCCACAATGGGGCCCTGGGTGGTGAGGGACGGGAACCCAGTTATCAGGAACGGACCACTCCCTGAAAAATTCTTGTGGTTTTAGATCGGTCTGGATTCAATTTCGAGCTTCCCAGAGCAGTAGGCTATCACCTGAACTGTTTGGCCATCTGGCCATCAATTGTATAGTTAATGGCTACGCTCAATGACAGATGAACCTGCAGGACTTTTTGCTACGTACTGACAACAGAAACCTTTATTAATACTGCCTTGTAATGTTTCCAGAATAACTTACGATGTTTTTATTAAAGAGATTTACATTTAAAATGGCCAATAACTTTATCATTTACCTTATTTAACATAACCTTGTTTAAATATCCTTATATATATTGATAAATTAGTGAAGGTAAAGATTAACATGCCCAGAAAGCAATTTAGGTGTAAAATTTTAATTACTTATGATCTATTTAGATGTATCTAAAACTGGATCATAACTTAATTATAAGTTAATTGGTCTGGAAATGAAGGATGGCCTGGGATCTGGCTAACAACTGATATTACATTTGTATGATAAGTAGGAGTTTCGGATTAAAGTTCTGCTCTCGGGCAATCTCCTCTTTCAAAAGATTTTAAATTAATTTATTTCAAATAATTAAATTTAACACAAAACGACAGCTTTAACCATCAGTCTCTAGTCCAAATTATTTAGCGTCTTTAACCATATTATAGTCCAACGAAGATTCAGCTGTGTCATTCAATTATTAATGTGTATTGAATTGGTTTTATAAGTAATTATATACTATTATTTTTAATAATTCTTTAAATAATTGCTTAAAGTTAGAGTAAGTCTTTATAAGTTGGCTATTTCATAAATTGGAATTTAATTAATTTATTTAAATTAATTTAGTATGCAATCGTGTACCGTTGTCAAAAGAATTGATTGCCGAAATGTGGAAAGACAGATATTTTCTTCTGAAAGATTTAGAAGTGTTTTTAAAAAGTGTTCATAAACCTATATTGATCAATAACCTTTTCCAGTTACAAAGAATAAGTTCTTGTAAACAAAGAAATGTAAGTCATGCTTTCAAATTTTCAAATAATATATTTTTTTTCATACAGGCAAAGACAAAAACCTAGCACCAGACTATATCTTGCTTCTGCTGTGTATTATCTAAATACAAGTGCACAAAAATATAGGTAATGGGCTATTTGACGGTATAGTCACCATGTACCTTTGACCTCTCTCTCACGGGGCCAAATTCTCTCTCATCTTCTATGAAAGATAATGTCACAATTTAAATTATAAAGTGATAGAGTGCCTTGAGATCAGTATAAAACGTTTTTTGTCCGATTAAAATATTCAAAGCGGCAGCAGGTGGATACTGTTATAATATATGGGGAAAATTGTGTGTGACTTCTCTGTGTAGCTTATCGTGCAGCCTTGAGCACACATCAGAGCTGAGATAGAATTTGGCATCGTGGAAGTGAGTTGGCATTGTATGGCGACTATATCGTTGACTAGCTCGCCACTGATAATTGGTAGTGAGGTAGTGTTGGTAATTGCGCATGTATTTAGTTAATATGTAGAAGAAGCAAGATATAGCCTGTTGCAATGTTTTTGTTTATACTCTTTATAATTATTGATTATAAAAGTAAAAAATACAATTATTTTTTTAATAGGATAAATGTGTTCCTAAATGGTTGCAGAAAACTTGTGGAAATTATCTGACAAATGAACTTCTTCAATCTCAAGGCATTATTTTCATTATTCAAGGTTTATTAGATCCAGGTTTAACATTGAATTAAATTTATATGTATATATATTCAGATATAAGGAGTGTTATATTTTATTACTTACGTAAACTTTCTTTTAAACAAAAGCTGTAAACCAAGATGATCCAACTGTTTGGAAACAGTGCGAAATGATTGGAAAATTAATAGTTCAAGTGCCAAGTTCATGTGCATCTGCAGAATCTTATTACGCAAAGATATGTCCTCAGGTATTTTAACTGATATTATTATTATTTGAAGAAATTAAGGTTCAAAAATTTGATATTAAATGTATTAATAAAAGAAATCTCAGGAAAATACTTCTCCCTTTAACTGAAATTTATGAACACAAAGAAATATATGTGATTGACACAAAGAAGGGTTTTTTTTTGTGCTCACAATGGGGACAGCTTGATATATTTGCAACAGACTGCCCATGAAAAATTCTGGGTCTTTTGTCTTCACAAATTTGATCCCGGCTTCTCCAGAGTGGTAGAATATCTATATCTATATCGTGATAGATATCCATGTTCTTCTTCTTGGTGCCATATCAGATTTCTGATGTCGGCGACACCCGGCGTAGATTAGTAAGTAGTTAATAATACGCCAAGGTGTTACTAGGAAAGGTTAGTACCCAGAGTGGTTTCCCATTGCCTTCTCTGGGGCATGATGTTACACGAGGAGAAAGAATGCCTTCCAGGAGGACTTTTATGCGGAACTGGCCTCCTATTTAGTCGTTATTGGCAAGGAGAAAACCGGAAAACTCCAAGCAGCCAGCTTGTCCGATTGCGGCGTGAACCCACGACCGAACTCCCAGTGTTTAGGGTATGAAGACCGCTCGGCCGCTGGTGGGCTAGATATCCATGTACTGTATATTTAAATATTAATGCCAAACGATTACAGGATTATATTGGGATATATTACCACTACTATTATTACTTAAATGCTAAGTAATTTGGCACTAGAGGCAGGCATCATATTGTAGAGGTAGATATACAGATTACAGTCGACCCCCCTATAATTACGGTCCCTATAGTTACGATTCCTATAAAACTACGAAAAAATTGCTACCGGTATCCGTAAAAAATAGTAAAAGTTCCCTATAAACACCTCAAACGTCATCGGGAAGCCGAACTACTTTCCCGCCGTCCGTAGCGCCACGCTACGGAGAGATTTCTATCGTCTGGACAGTATTATATAAATTATATATAAATTAGGTACTGTACATATAATTATATATTAATTATATATAAATTAGGTACTGTATATATAATTATATATTAACTTATTGTAACTTTGTTATAATTAAATATATAATTTCCGCCGTCTAGCGTGGCGCCACGCTACGGAGATTTTTACGCTAACTATCGTCTGTCAGTATGTAAATTAGGTACCGTAAGTCTAATACAGTACTGTAATTTTATACATTTCTTGTGAAAGAAACATTTCTTATTCAACGGCGATTAAAATTATTTATATTAATGATGTCTCCGAAGTTCTACGAAGTTTTCACAGAAAAATAAGTTGTTAGAAATCGGCCGCTCTTTGCTGAGCTGTTCCGCGACGAAAACAATGTTGAGCAATGGCAATGTCGAATGGTGACACTCGGTAAGTAATCCTACAATTTTTTGTTTATAGCGTAGTTTATACGGATTATTCCCAAAAAATATATACGTATTTTGGAAATGTTGAGTCGGATTAGTCTAGAATCGATTAATTTTATGGAAGAAAATCTTTCAAACAGCCGTAGTCCGTAAACTTGTTAGGTGTCGGGTTGTGATTGGAAGGATTCGTAAGAAAGCGGATTCCTAGAGAATGGAACGTATCTCTATCTTATAGGGGGGTCGACTGTATACGAAAGCAAGCAGAAGGAATTGCTATAACATGCAATGGGATTGTAATGCCTGTAAAGTGATTTAAACTGCAAATTCTTGCATCTCACATTACTATCAACTTGCTTTTGGATAAAATTTATAAACTGAGAGATATTTTCAACTTTTGAGCTAATTTAATAAAGTTTTATCATATAGCTTACTTGGTATTATTAAATAATTTTAATAATAATAAATATTTTATATATTTTTAGATTTTAAAGATAATTTACACAAAAGAATTAATTCATAATAAAAAGTATATTCTTACCATTATATCTGCCATATCTTCGATGGCTGAACATCAACCTACTTTTGCATGGAAATATATATTCAAGCAATTACTAAGACCATTATTGGTATGCCTACAATTTTCAGGTGAGTTTTATTTTTTTTTTAAATTTGTGCTTTAATTGTATTTTATAATTACTAGTAACATTTCTTCTAAGCTTTGGAAACTGATGTACAAGTCATGTTGTCTTCTGTGAAAGGCAAACTGGTGCAAATGGGTGGATCATCTTTCTCTTGTGCTCATGATTAATATCTTGTTATAATCACTATGCAATTTATTTTATTTTAGTGCATAATTCTTAAAAACTGTTGTTCTGTTCTGCAGTTTACAGGGAAACGTAATGATGTTTCTCTCTATTATTAAAATTATAATAACACTTCGTAAAATAAAAAAATCGGCAATGGCCTGGCCTGGATTTGTCAGAAAAGTTATACATCACATTGCTGATTAAAGATCACTGACATTAGCATAAAGTTAAATGTGTAGTGCCATCAAGATGTTATTAAAAAATAACTTTTATATTATTAATTTGTATTAAAAAAAAAAAAAAGGCAAAACAAGTTTAATTTTGAGTGTCGAGATGAGTTTTTAAAAATTGTAAATGCCAATAATGAGTAAATTTTTTAATTAGGTCTGACCCCACTCGAGATATGACTCAATTTGCCTCTATCTTCCCATCCCTCGAACTTTAACCATCAAAATTTAATAGCGTCAATAACATCACTAAGCAAATTTATTAATATCATAATTATATCCTGGGGCCAAATGTTAATAATGTAAGCTAAGGATGGCCAGATCTTAACCGAAAACATTTCTTTTAGGTAATAAAAGTTGGTTTCCCAAAGTTAATAGTTTTAAAGTTTTTGTTATTGAGGAGTATTGTGTGAATTTTCAAATGCCGAACGTAATAACTTACGAAGAAACAACACTCCATTCTATAATATCAAAAAATTAAATTTATTTTAATATTTGGCATTTAAATAGATGTTTTGGTACTTTTGAGCAAGTGATACTTCATCCTCAGGAACACTACATAAAAATAACATGCCATTTAGGAAATGCTGACTGCAAATTTATGTAAAATTAATTGTTTAAGACAGTGATCTCCAGACCAAATCAGGCTCACAAATATATTTAACACATCGTAAATGATAGAAATAGATCTACTTTTTGTATATGTCGAGTATACAAAATATTTGTGGCCTGCCTAACTACAACTTACGTGCAATTTGTCCTATAAACCAAAAAGCTTGAGCATTACTCGTCCACGCAACCGTATATTTTAGCATTCCTGAAGACGAGTGTGACTTGCTCCAAAATGTCAATGTTAAAGTTTTTTAAATCTTAAGAAAGCAGGTTTTATTTGAATTAAAATTATACTGTGGTTCTGATATTATGTTTTTATTTAAATAGACGATATCTTTGTCGGTATAAAATATGTATTGTAATGCTTAAAATATATACAGGTGTATGTGTGTGTGTTAAATATTAATGATAAGTGTAATATTTTAACTAATTTTCTGTTATTTTAAAATTAAAAAGGTTTGTTGTTAGATATTTTATAGCAATATTAACAGAAATTTTTCTAGTGTCTTTTAAATAATGTTTTACAGAAATAAATTCTAACAAATTTGCCGACGAAATTTTAGTTACCGAACAAGAATTAAATAAATGCATTGAAAGTCTTTATGAGGTTTGTCTGTTTTATTCTAAATTAAATATATTTATTTTAAATCTAAATATATTAATTATATGATATTTTAATATAAAAATGTAGTACATTCAAAAAGTTTGCAGAAAATGTCTGAAATGTGTATAGGTGGAGTGAGAATGTCTCAGATTTTTTTAAAATACTTGGCAACTATGTACTGAGTCACACCGCACGAGGCAGTGACATCACAAACAGTTTTTTTGGTTTTTCTGCATTCATTTATGACATAAAAGCATAGTTTATCATGAAAGTGTCCAGAATAAACATCAAATTTTGTCCTTTTGAAGGACACCTCAACAAATTCTGGAAATGTTTTCTGCAGTTTACTGTTTTACAGTTTGCAGGGAAGCAGCTATGAAGAAAACTGTCGTGTACAAATTGCACAAACTGTTTGTGGATAGGAGACAGTGTATGGAAGATGATGAGAGATCAGGTCATCATTTCACTTCTCGGAATGATTTGACGGTTACACGGAATCGGGATACTGTTCAAGAAGACAGGCTACCATTGCAGAAAAGTGTGGCATTTCCATTGGGGCTGCTACATCATTTTTACAGATCTGAAAATGCATAGTGTTTTCAATGACACAATGTCAAAGTTGTTAACTGCAGAACAGACTTAACTGTGAGAAGAAATGCCAAAATCTTGCCCTTGAATTGCATACTCCACAAATTATTATTATAAAATAAAAATTAAACAAGTAAAATTATTATGACAGGAAGATAAATGCATATAGTACAAAAATTAGAGATGTCCTGCAGGTGTTCTTTAATTCTACATGTCCACAATCTCTTAGTAGACCCCATGTACGTAAGAATTCTTTCAAATCTATTTTCTATTATGGGGACAGAATGTACTGTACTCCTGGGGTTCTATTCCTGTTGATCTTATCTTTGGTGTTGGATAATAAGCAAAAGATGATTGGATTGCACCAATACATTAGGCAAATACATTAATGCAAGGCTTGAGGTTTTATCTCTTCCTTATTGTTAGAAGGATGGATGATGTTCTTAAGTTTGAATTTTTTTTAAGCTAATGACAGAATAAGTTTTTTACTCTATCCATGCTTTATTGCTATGCTATTAATGTGTTCCAATTCTATCTTACTATCTTTAGCATTGGAACTCTACTAACTAATACTCTAAATCCAGCCAGCTTTAACAGTATTGGTCACCGGAAATGGTGGAAATAAAGCATGGACAAGAGGTAAGTTTGTTACACACCCGTGTTTCAGCCCTGCCAGTTTTTAACATGATGTAGAAGTCAAGGAAATGTACCTCAGTGCTAATTTGGTCTATTTTAATCATAAGTCTGTAGGAGTTGACATTGAATCTCTGCAACAGTTTATTCACTTCTGGTTTGGACTTTCAAATTATCAAAATGTCATCAATGTAATGGGTGTAATAAAATAGCTGAGGTAAGAACTCTTTTATCGCTTTGTTCTTGAGGAAGCAAACTATGAGTTCACATAAATACCCTGACCTTACCCATTGGTACACCCCCATTTCTGCAGATAAGTTTGCTTATTAAAGCTAAAAAATGAGGTCTAGCAGAGGAGTGCTAATTCAAACATGTGCTTATGGTATAAATTTGCCAATTGTACTAGGTTAAATAAGTTATCCCTTAGAATGAGAAAACAAGGCTCCAATCTAATGAATGGAAACATGGAGATGAAGTTGAGCAGTGTGATGTACTCGCTTCCTGCCAGTTTAATTTTGTTTAACTTTTTTAATAATTGAAATGAATCTTGGATGGTGTACTGATAGTCTTTTAAGCAGTTAGCTAATAGATGATGTATACACTGCTCTAGGTTTATTGTAGGCAATCTGGCCTTGTATATGATTGAACGTAATCGTTTACATGGCTTATTGGTCTTTGTGAAAGCAAAGAGCCACAGGGTATCTGGAGAGTCTATTTTGGCATGTCTTAACTCAAGAATTTCGGCTCAGTTTTTTGTGAGTTAGAAGGATAATTTTATTCTGTATTTAATAATAATAATTTGTGGAGTATATGAAAAAACGTAACATATGTATTAAACATTCAAAAACCAGTTGATGTCAAAAGGAAAACAATTTTAAAAAACATTCTAAAATTAGAATCTCTGATGTTCTTCAAAGTTTGATGCTTCACGCAGGCCCCAAAAAGAGGCTGAAAATGTTTTGTTTTGTATTTAATTCAAATGCATGTTATTTGCAGTTTATCGTATATGTTAATATTGTAACTTTTAATTTCTGTAAATTTTAAGTTGACGAAATTGCTTCGGCAATTGAGTTCACCAACGACGAATGGTGATTCTAGTGAGTTATTTGAGAAACTAGAAAATCTGGTTGCATGATTCACTTAGAAACAACAGCAAAAACATTAAGTGTCAGATTTGAAGAAGAAACTCATGACTTGAAGAAAATATTGGTATATTTGGAAGTTAGAATACCATCATTCCCAGTCAGGAACTACTACACAAAACTTTGCTAAAATTCAACTGTTTTCCACTTTAGTACAGACGACTAAAAGCTTATAAGACAAAGGAAACATCATTGTACCAACTGCTTCCAGAGCACAATTAGTCACACTGCGTGCTCTTGTGAGGTCTATCATGTGTTTAACAAACTGTCACAAAAATTTTTGGATGCGAATATCTCACCAAGGGTCATAATTAGAGATACTGTTCCATTAACTTTTTTGGATATTTAAGTGTTGAATCGCCTAGACAACCAAAATAGATAAAATTGCAGTTCTGAATGAAGGGTTTGGATATTCCCCATTAAGAACTGCAATTTGAAAAAATTGTAGACCTATAAATTCCCACTGTTGTCATCCATTCATTTTTCTTTAATCTCAAGAATGGAGTTAGATAGACAAAATCCGACACCAGCTATGGAAACCTTAGGGGCGGGAGGTCCCGATTAACTATATACAAACTTCCAACACAAACTGGAAATCACATTATTTCAATTCAAAACTTTCCCCAAAAGCAGTTAATAGATGACCAACTCGACTATATTGTTAAAGGAAAAGTATGATGTACGGGGGCAAGCCACTACTAATTTTAGATGGAAAGCTGCCCGGCATTGTGACGGTGTCACAATAAATAATCGCTCATATCTATTCATATTTTATTACAGAGAAATTGTGACTTAAATCCACGGATACAATGTTTGTTTAATATATAAAAATATTTCGTATTATTTTATCAAAGAGAGAGATAGAGTTAATTTTTATATACCTAGAATCAGTGGTGCACTTAAGATTTAATGTTGGGGAGCCAAGTTGAACGGATAAAAAGATTTTTAACGCAAATTCATTAAAATTCCACCTTACGTGACCACAAATTCATAAGTAGTATAGAAATAGAAGACGTGACACAATATAAATAAAAAAATAAATTTTGATTAAGAAAAGATTCTTGGAAAATATACTAATTTTCCTCCTCTTTCATTTTGGGGGTGCCAGGACCTCTTGGCTGCCCTCCGGATGTGACACTGCCTAGAATAGATCTACTAAAATATATTATTTTGCCTTTTATTTATATTGGCAACTCTAAAAACTTAACGTCATCATAAAGTGAAAGTTTAAGGTAAATATATTTAATAATTTTAAATACTACAAGGCCGAATATGTATTTATATTTTACAGATTGTCACATGTAATATTGGTTTGCCTAAAAATGTATGGTCTTATTTACATATGGTATTCGTCCCTCTTTTTCGCCTCCATTGTTTTTCGGCCGGTGGAATCTTTTATTTAAAGTAAGTTTTTATTTGCAAATTGTGTGATGTAATAGTTATTTTTCAGATAAATTAGAGAATTAATGCATATGTAGACTTTAGGTTTGCTCTAATCAAACACAAAAAAAACTTAAAATTTCTAATACAAACATCTAAGAACCCAATTTTAAATTAAAGCCAAATGATTGCCAGATTACATCAGTCTATATTAATGCTACTAACTAATCAAGTAATTTGGCATCAAGGTAAGCATTAGGCATCATCTGTTGATAGATTTAACAATTATAATTAATATAATTTAATTAGTAATTAGTATCATCAATATAGTTCGTTGTAACTGGCAATTGTTTAACTTTAAAGTTAAATTTCTCCCGAAGATTACGAAGATCTAAATTTCACATAGTTTTATAAGATTTCTGCACTTATTATGCTGTAAATATCAGAAATAGCTTTAAAATTTAAGTATATGTTTATTAAATTGCCAAATATCTAGAAGCAATGGTAAGGCAGTTAAGGTGTCACCCTTCTGCATCAGGGACTCGAGATTGAACCTGACTCAAGGAATTTTTTGGGAGTGATCTGTCTCTGATATGTTGACTCCATTCCTCACTAGTTGGCTGCCTCCATTGAGTGCCGTGATGATTATTTGAGAAGGTCCACTTAGTGTCCACAAGGTAGAAAGAGAGCGAAATATATTCAAAAACTAATTACAGTGTATTACAGTATTAATTACAGGTATTAAAAGTAGGTGATTAATTTCAGTAATTATTTAGAACACTGTTTTTCTTTTAGAACATTCCAAATTATTAAATTTAATTCTAAAATTAATTATTAATATAAGGTTGTGGCCTTACTACTGACATTTAGTCTAAATTATTTAGTTTCTATGATTAAAACCTAGCCACAACATAGCCAGGAGATATCCATTTATTCTAGTCTTTCTGCTCTGTAGAGTACAGTAATACCTCGACTTACACTACCCCAAGTTACGCGAACTCGAGTTACGCGATTTTTAAATCTCGTCGATTCGTCTTTTGTTTGACGAATCGACGAGAAGAGTTGAGCGCCACGCAACTCTTGATTACTCACTCCGCTCAGCAACTCTTGATTACTCACTCCTCCCATACTATTGTTCAGCTTACATGTTCAGATGTGTCGCGCAGAATTGACACATAGCTACAATTTATTTTGTGTTATTTATTTCTGTGTTTCTTATATCTATGGAGACTTGAGAGACTCTATGTGGTGATTTCTTATAACTGTGAACGAATCAAATGACGAGATAAGATTAACGAGAACATTTATTAGCTTACATACATCCAACTTTGATTTTACACATATTGCGAAATTATACCCCGACTTACGCGGTTATCGCTCGGTCTCACCTATTGTGTAAGTTCGGGGTATTACTGTACATATGTCACCAGTTATATTATCTAAGCTTCTGGTCAACTTTTGCTTTTGGATATGTTTAAATTTAGATCATATAATTGTATGAATTTCATTTTGGTTTAATTCTCTTCCCAGAAGCTTCTAAATCATTTAATTTTATTTAAATTTAATTTATAATGTACCGAGTTTTCTGTAAGGACTGTCTCATAAGCCTTGTCAAATGATTTTATTTCATAAATTGCTGTTCATTAGCCATAAACGTGTATCAGAATACCCTTTGTTTAGAATTTTACATTGTTTTCTTGCAAAGACATTTTGTTAAAACTGTTACAAGGACAATCATAAAATCAGTTATACTAATCTGTTTCAATAGGAAACAATAAATTAAATTGATTAATTTAATAATTAGTACAATTATAGCCCTTGAATAATCTGGTGTTAGATCTTTGGTTAATTGTATATTAACTTTTCTTTATTCTATTTAGACAGCAAATAGAAGACATCGTACTTACTTTATTAAAGAAATTTGAAGAATCGGTAATGCTCGTAAACTGCATTTTATTTGACGAAGAATTACCGAAAGGAATTCATCCAACGAATAGAAATGTTGCTTTTGTTTACGGCGATCTAGGGAGCATCAAAATAAAGAGAGAACAGACAGCAAAGTAATTATTAAAAAATATATTTTTTTTATAATCCTATGAAAAATGAATGAATATGAGTATTAATTTTAAAATTAATTTCTTAGCAATCACAGTCTAACTTTGATTGCATCCCTATCTCAAATTTGCACAAAATTAGCTGAGGCACTTAGCCAAAGAATTTCAAACATACGAGTTTGAGTTTGAAGATGACGATGTTCATAATGCAAAATTGTACATCTAGTAACTCTATTTAATATTTATGGAGAAGATTTGTTCACCAGTTCATTAGAATTTACAGGGTGTTTCCATGGAATGTGTCTAGTTTTAAACCAGGGATTGCACACTTAAATTCAGCAAAAGGCCAGTCAAGTAGATGTATATCAGACACGAGCCAATTTGTTATTATTTGGTAAACCAAAAAATTTTGTAAATTATTTTGTCTTTTATGATATACATAAACAGAAGCTTGAATTTTTTCTGTTTTAATACCGCAATATGTTAGAAAACATTGATTTTTAGAGAAGAAATCATCAAGGCTGCAGGCTGGATATGATGCCTTAATGGGTTGTATCTGGCCCGTGGGTTGCCAGTTTGCAACACCCGTTTAAACTGTTCTGTAAAATCCATTTGTTCAGATATGTGAGTAAAACACGTTAGAGAATGNATATATATTACAAAAAGTGGCCTATTGTTACTTGCTTCTATGATGAAAGCTCTTATAAAATGAATTATTTGAGATAGAAAATATATAGAATAAAATTATTGTGACATCATTACAATGCTGGGCTGCAATTTTAATCATATTTTTAATTTATTCAGTTTAAAATATATGTAGTAGTTTCTTGCTCTTGTATACCATATTTTTCCTGATAACAACAGTGTCATACTAATCATCGGTCTAGCTCTGTTGTGGAGAAAATTTATTTTATTTATTTATTTCATTAAATTTACATGAAAAGTCTGGATAGACATTTGATTTCTGCCCCCTACAAAAACGTACATCATAAAAACAGTGTCATACTAATCATCGGTCTAGCTCTGTTGTGGAGAAAATTTATTTTATTTATTTATTTCATTAAATTTACAGGAAAAGTCTGGATAGACATTTGATTTCCACCCCTTTACAAAAACATATGTCATATAAATCAAATAACACCTCTTAAAACTACATAAAATAAAAACAGGTAACAAATTTTAAGAGATACAGCACTTTTTTACATTCTAATTTAAAATCAAAATGTCAAAATTCATCAAAATTATTAAGATTTTGTGATATATGATAGAAGAAAGATTATTGGGATAGATTTAGATGATAAAAAGGAGTATCTTTTACTTGTTTATGATTAAAACCTAGCCACAACATAGCCAGGAGATAGACATCGTACTTACTTTATTAAAGAAATTTGAAGAATCGGTAATGCTCGTAAACTGCATTTTATTTGACGAAGAATTACCGAAAGGAATTCATCCGACGAATAGAAATGTTGCTTTTGTTTACGGCGATCTAGGGAGCATCAAAATAAAGAGAGAACAGACAGCAAAGTAATTATTAAAAAATATATTTTTTTTATAATCCTATGAAAAATGAATGAATATGAGTATTAATTTTAAAATTAATTTCTTAGCAATCACAGTCTAACTTTGATTGCATCCCTATCTCAAATTTGCACAAAATTAGCTGAGGCACTTAGCCAAAGAATTTCAAACATACGAGTTTGAGTTTGAAGATGACGATGTTCATAATGCAAAATTGTACATCTAGTAACTCTATTTAATATTTATGGAGAAGATTTGTTCACCAGTTCATTAGAATTTACAGGGTGTTTCCATGGAATGTGTCTAGTTTTAAACCAGGGATTGCACACTTAAATTCAGCAAAAGGCCAGTCAAGTAGATGTATATCAGACACGAGCCAATTTGTTATTATTTGGTAAACCAAAAAATTTTGTAAATTATTTTGTCTTTTATGATATACATAAACAGAAGCTTGAATTTTTTCTGTTTTAATACCGCAATATGTTAGAAAACATTGATTTTTAGAGAAGAAATCATCAAGGCTGCAGGCTGGATATGATGCCTTAATGGGTTGTATCTGGCCCGTGGGTTGCCAGTTTGCAACACCCGTTTAAACTGTTCTGTAAAATCCATTTGTTCAGATATGTGAGTAAAACACATTAGAGAATGCTGGTCGATACTCAGAGTTTCACATGCGTATGCTTGAAAGGGTTGCTGTTGCCGCATGGTGGCAATCCGGATCTCCATTGTCACATGGTCTATGTTGTTGGGTCACTGTATCTCAGTCTACCCAATCACCCGACATCATCTCTTTGATTATTTTTCTTTGTGTATATGCTAGAAAAGTGCCAGACACAAGACTCCCACATACAAATTTGTTTTATTTAATTTTCATTTAGAAATTTGTTTATTTGATCATAAATTAAGTAAAATATACTATATAATCTTTTAATTTTTTTTATTTTATATATATTTATTTATTTCATTAAATTTACAGGAAAAGTCTGGATAGACATTTGATTTCCACCCCTTTACAAAAACATATGTCATATAAATCAAATAACACCTCTTAAAACTACATAAAATAAAAACAGGTAACAAATTTTAAGAGATACAGCACTTTTTTACATTCTAATTTAAAATCAAAATGTCAAAATTCATCAAAATTATTAAGATTTTGTGATATATGATAGAAGAAAGATTATTGGGATAGATTTAGATGATAAAAAGAAGTATCTTTTACTTGTTTACCTAAAGCATTTTCTCAAAAGTTTAAGGAAATTGTTACTTGTACCAAATGGAGGAAATGATTTTACTTCTACATTTTGCTCGAAGCATTTGCTTCATTTTTATTCATACGGGCTGTTGTGTTGACACACTACACACTGCCAGAATCTACACTTTTATTTGCATTTCTACAGCCTTGTTTTGGGAAGAAGTATTATTGCTTTCTTATCCAAATCTGTGCTTAGTCTACTCTATTGAAATCCATACATTTATACTTTTCTCCCTTCTTTTGACATCACATGGTCGCTTGAATATAATATCATGCCAAATAGCTTGGCTGCAGCATCACAATGCTCGATCAAGCCAGAAAAGGTTACACTATGTCACGTTTCCACAAAGTTTCCTGTGTGTTGCTGGCTTAAAGTAGAGTGCGATCGTAAAGTCACTACACAGTGGTCGGCTGAGCGGTGGAATCATTCAACCAACAGTCCGATACTGTAAACATTGTATCTCTAAGGGATGCAGCATAGTTTCTCGTCATGCTGACCATTGAGCAGAATTTTTCTTGTGTTGTTCTGTGTATTTTAGGGGAAAACTGTGCAAGAGTGGTTATCCCAGTAATTGCTCACTAATAATAAAGTATATTATTTTAATAAGCTTGATTAACAGTTATATACTTACTACAGCACAGAAGACTACTTGGAGAAACGATTTGATTGTATGTTACAACTGCTTCATAAATTAAATGATAAAAGGATAACAGGAAACATATTTTTCATGCTTCTTGAGGTAATTATCATAATTTTAATATATTTTATAAAGATTATGTTTAATTTTTTTCTATAAATTTGTATAGAAATTGCAAGTTATGTTAGAAGATGTAGAAACGGAAAAGAAAATAAACACTTCAGGAAATTCGTTGACATATTTAGACAAAGACGATCTCTATTTAAGTAAATTGCATAAAAATATAACGACACTAAAATTTCTTCAAGAAATATCAGATTCATTTGGAGACGATATCGTTGAAGACTCTTCTCGAGCAATTGTATTTATTCAGGTATTTCAATAATACGGATATATAACTTTTTTTTTAACACATTATAATAATTGTTTCCATAATTTTATGAGAAAATTAAATTGTGAGAATGTTTTGTTTTCGTTTAATTAAGTGACAAAGTGCAATTTTTGTTAATTGTATCAATAAACAGTTTATTTTAAACCTGCAATGCGACATGGCTTCTGCAAAAAACTAAACATTTAAAAATTTAAAAAAATATACCAAAAGAATTGGTTAAAATTCAGAAAAATTGCTATATTATGCTTATTAATAAAAATTTTTTTGCATTGGTTTTATCATTGATTGGTTTCTCACAAAATCCAAGTGACTTAGATCTTGCTGGTATTTTTTTTCTGTTATTTATTTTGATCATAGGCTCTGCAGAATGGTAGGCCAGTGCCTTAACTGCCTTTGTCATTTTTCCAGCTGTGTAATGTATTGAAATGCTTGTCGGTATTGGTGCATAGTGGCATTTCTGACAAAGATCCATATAAAGATCAAACATAGAGTTAAATTGAATTTGATTTTTCATTTTAATCTTTAGACAGAATATCATTTTAAATTGCTTTGGGTAATAAAAATGAAAGTTACTTGTTAAATTTTGGATTATTTGTGTAATTTTAGTTGTGTCGTCAATGTAATTATGATTACGTTGTGTTGAATCGTTATCCGACTTGGAGCACATTTAAAGTTAAACATCTTCGAAGTGTCTTTTATATTATCTTGTAAATATAAATGGTTCTTTTTAATCTAAATCTATTATAAATCCATTAGATCAGTGTTTCTCAATCTTTTTCTCATTGTGGACTGATAAAATTATTCATAATTTTACATTGACCAGTAATTATATGTGACTATGAATTATGCTTACATATGCTTATCTAGAGTTATTATATGTAATGAAGTACAGGTATCCCTCGTATAACACGGCACTTCTACAAAACAGTTTCTGGTTTTGCTCTAACATCGTTTGGGAGATCTTCCATACAAAATTTCAGAACTTTTAAGTGCAAACTCCGTTATTTAATATGTTTTTTATTCAAGTAACTGTGCGTGTTGTCTCAAATTTGCCCACAGATCTTACAATAATGAAAAAGAATAGTATACTTTTGTTAACTTTTGGAATCTAACTCCATTTTTTATTAGTCCTTTGTTTCATACAGTATGGATCCGCATAACGTGGCACTTTTTCGGAATGTAACTACTGTATTATACGAGGGATATCTGTATGTATAGTAACTCTGGATTACTATTTAAATGCCATAGATAATCAACTGTTTCAGCATCAGTACAGTCAAATACTTTTCTACATTAGTATAAGAGAAACAAAGTTTGCACTGCATTAGATTATGTATCTTATTAAATATGAAATAATACATCTGTAATTTTATTTTATAGAAAACGTTAGATAGATGTGTACCTATATATACAAAGGATGCCTCATTCCAGAATGAAACATTAGCTTTGGCTCTGGGCGCATTGATTATGCTATTAAATTCTAAAAATAAGGTGAGATAATGTAATTTCTATATAAATTTATTAATCTATAAGACTATTTTTCTATAAGACTTGACTTACAAACACATCAAAGTAATTATTGTTATTAATACTCCAATAATTTTAAATAAAATATATATTACATTTGTTACCATTTGTAAATTCTCTTTATGAAGTTGGCAGCATTTGCTAGAATTGTGATTGATCGATAGAGTAAAAATTTTATAAGTAAATGCCATAAGCCAGTCCATTCCGGTGAATTTTTGCATGATGCGTTTGCCTGGAAAGTTTACATAATGACGCAAACTTGCACAGAAAGTTCAAGCTATTGGTGTGTAGCCGAAGTTTCTCCAAAATTCATTTGGACTTCACTCAAAGTTAGTTGGTTTGCTGCTTTGTAACAAAGTTTAAACTGTCGTGTAACAATCCAGAGTATAGATGCTGTTTTTACTCTAAACTGGTCCTAGCTAAGACTTGGTCTCTGAAGTTGGACCATATAGTTAAAATTAAGATTAATCCCGAAACAAAAATCTAATTTTGATTTATTTTTTGCTAAGTAAACACCCTTGAATACGAGGTGGGAGTCTCAAAAGTATTCAGGATTGATTTGGTTTTAATTTAACTCTGCAATAAAGTAGGATTTAGCTACTGATTTAGTTAGATACTTTTAGAAATTTCTAATCATTTTTATTGAATTTTGAACAGGTAACATCAGAAGATTTTAAAGAATTAAAAAAATGCGTACCAAGTTTACAAAAATTAACTGAAATTTGTCATCAAGCCGATATTCAAGCTGCTGCTCAAGAATTACTAATCATCATTGTTACTCACGGTGCTGCTGGAAAGGTGACGTCACTTCAACGCAACGCTAATTCGGCCAACGATGCTTTGGAGACTGTCGTGACGAAAGCAAAAAGTAATAATAAATCTACAACAAATATATCCGGAATAAATAGTAGTAATGAATTTGCTGGCGAGCAGCAAATGTCAGAGCAGACGTCACATTTTAAAAATGCTTGGAAAGATTTACACAGTGTAATTGTACCGGAGAAAGGTCATGCCCTCATCGTGCTTAGGAGACTAATCGAATCAAAGGATGCTGAAACAATGGAGAATTTTGAAAAATTATTAAATATTTTTAAAGTAAGTACTGTACCTAAATGACAATTTATGTTTAGTTTATTTCTCCTGTACTTTTTAGATAATTTTTTTTATCAATTACTATGAACTTTTAAATCTTTTCTTTAAACTTCTTTCTTTTCTGGACATTAAAAAGGCTTTTTTTTTTTAATGTCCTTCACGAGTTTGGTCGAGTTCGTAAAGCAACGAATGGTGGTCGAAGAACGGACTCGACACAACCAAGTCAAACCTCCCTCTTGCAGAAATTTTTGAAAATGTAGCCCAGATGTGAACTTGGGTTCATCAGAGTTGCAGATGTATGCGTTAGCTTTTTCACTTGTCTGGTCACTATAGTTTAATTAAATTAATATATTAATAAGTTTGCTCATTTGTTGTAGCATGTACAGTACAAGAGGCACATTGAATATATACAAGGATTTTCAAAAAGATTGTTGTGGTCAAATATAAATACTGTTGTTGATATGACAGTACATGCCATACAGATGATTAGAGTTATTCTTGTTTATCCCATACTTTACAATTACTCAATTTGTTTGTTTGATGAGTGATGCAACATATGTTACTGTGTTATTTCAGTTTCTCCCATATATGATGTGATTTGCTTTGGTGACGGAAGTCACAATGATATGAATGTGCTAATTTGGTTCAGTGATTGTCATTAGCAATGTAGGAATTACAGTGTTCTTGATGAAGCCTCATTACAAAAGGTCATAGTGTCGTGTCAGGTGATCTCTCTCCCTCTCTCTCTGTCACGCACAGATTCTGTGTAAGGGAGGAACTGAAATCTTGTATTGACACGTATTGGATCACATATGATGAATTGTAACATACGAGACAAAGTTGGAGTTACTTTAGTCATCTGTATTAACCTGTAGTATTTACATTTGGATCAAGCTATCTGAATAATTCCATATACAAGATGCCCATAAGTCTGGAACCATAGGAATTTGTTTGTTCTCTTACAGGTAAAGCAAGGCACTGAGTAAGGAGGAAAAAATTTAAGTTATTTCAATGGAGGAACTTGCAGTAGGCCTGAAGTCACCGAAGAGTTTGACAGGCTGCATTTGGATTTCCTACCAATCAGACACAGGTCTGGATGCAGCCCGTTAAACTCTTTGCTGACGGCAGGACCCATTATTTGAAATAACTTGAGTTTGTTCCTCCTTACTCAGTGCCATGCTTCACTTGTAAAAGAATAAACAAAAATCAATATAACTCTGATGATTCCAGACTTCTGAGTCATTCTGTATAGATTTCTTAATATAGAAATATGTATATGAGTAATGATCATGCATTAGATTTACAAATCTATATTTCATTCTATTTTCAGGAATGCATTGCTCATGAAGATTCGTACATATATTTATCCTCCATTCAGTGTCTGATTGCTTTAGGAATTGTCGATTCCGATAGAATAATTCCCGAACTCGCAACAGAATTTAACAAATTCTCTGAAAATAAAGAAGTAAAGATGAAATTGGGAGAAGCTTTGATGCACATCAGCAGACAACTTGGTAAGATAATAGAAAATTATTATTTATAAGATTACATTTTTACCTTTGACAACTGCAGTTTAATACATTCTTTCAACAGGTGATCTGGCACCAAAATATAGAGACGTGTTGCTTCCCGTATTTTTAACTGGGACGAAAGACACGGATTCCGAAGTCAGAGTGTCTTGTTTGTCGAATTTGGGCGAAATTTGCCAGAGATTGAAATATTCTCTTGGGCCATACCTACAAGAGGTTATCATTATAAAGAGTTTAAAATGGTTATAATTATAGCTAAATGGAATTTTACATTTATCTTCTTCTTTCAGATAATTGAATGTGTACAAAGCTTAGTTCAAACGGATCCTTCTGTTGAAGTAAAGCGTGCTGCCGTTATGTTAATCTCGCTACTACTGAGAGGATTAAGTAATGATGTTTTTAAGGTAAGAACGTTTTTATTTTTAAATATTAAGAAATTTTCTTTGAAATTAAAAATTACTTATCATGTAAGATTAAGAGACAAGAAGAGAATTTACATTGAAATATGTTAGAGTTTTTGTATTATGTTATAAGTATTGTTGTTATAATTTAAAATGAAAAACTCCAAAAATTGGATGTATACACTAAAATTTATACCAAAAACTTTAAATATTTTATTGGATTTAAGTTTAATTTTAAATTCTAATTAATTTATAAACATTTTAACAATATGAAAACAATACATATGCTATATACAATATAATTTTAATATTATATAACTCCTAATTTGATGAGGCCAGATAGGGAGAAACATATTATGGAAATACAGGTTACAATAGTGTCTTGTGGAATTCTTTCGATGAGGTACTTATCGATGAAGGCACATTTAAAGTCTCAAATACATTATATGAGGGTCATTCAAATGAAACCCAACCAATGACTTTATTTCATAGGTACAGTATATTACATTAAAAGTAATCCCCTGATGAGTAAGGCACTTGTCCCACTGTGATACCAGATATTCATTTTCTTGCTCATAGAACTCGGTGGGTTGATGTCTGCACAATTCCTGAACTTTGTCTTCCACCTGAGCGTCTAATTGAAACTTACACCCTTTCAGGTGCCTCTTAAGCTCCCCAAAAAGTGGAAATCACGTGGAGACTAGTCAGGATTGTATGCAGGATGCTGGAATGTTTCCCACTTGAATTTCAAAAGGGATTCCTGCACAATGTGCATGGTGTGAGAGTGGGCATTGTCATGAAAAAGGATGACACCTTGCAAAAGCAGACCAGGCCACTTAGACTTGATGAAAGCTCTCGGAGATTTTAAATTTTCCATGTACTGAGCAGCATTCATGGTGGTTCCATAGTCAGTAAATTTCATTGTGTTTTGTCTCCTGTAACGATTTTCTCTATGAAATGAAATGATGACCTTCATTGTGGTACCATAGCAAATGTTCCAATGACAGATACAAAGGTCTTTTTGCACAGACATCAAGTTGTGTGGCACCCACTGGGCACAGATGTTTTGTTTCTGCAGATGCACAAGGATAATGGTGTGCATACTACTGATGCTTATTCCAATTTCGGTTGCCAGTGCTTCCACGATGACTCATCTATCATCCGTAATGAGTCTGTTTACTTCAGCTACTGTAACCTTATTCATCACAACTTTCCTTGGCCTGGCATCATCGGCCAAAGACAACTGATCATCTCGGAAGTGCTTAGTCCAGTCTTTCACTGTTGTCAAATCCATACAGTTTTGATACATATTACTCATGGGGCAATGGATGGCATGGGTTGTATTCAAAATCTCAACATCAATCCAGTGAGATACTGCTGAATTGACGCAACTGCTGGTGTTTTCTAGAGAACACAAATGCTGACTGCCGGGAATTTTGAGAGAGAAAAACAACAAAAATGAGGAATGATGTGGACTTCCATGTTACGTTAAACTTGTTTAATGAGAACAGCTTAATAAAAAATGAGTATTTCGAAAAGAGAAATAGGGATGATGATTTTTAAAATTTCCATAGGAGTTTCAAATAATTAAATCAATTCTAAGATTACGCTTTAACAACTAAAAAAAAATTATGTTATATCTTGCATAAATATACTAGTATATTAAAATATTCTATTAATGTACTAACTTAATATTAATTTATTCAGGGTTTATTCATCAACAAATAAATTAAATTCTAAATTGTCAATGCAAAATACAGCTCTTACGAGCCTCATGGTGGCTGCCATCTTGTTTGCTGGAAGATTAATGAATACGCCCATGGGGTCCGACACCTTCTGTGGTTAAAAAAACACACTACTGCTTGCTGCTCAATTGTTGACACATTCATGCTTGAAAGTTGAAGTATCTGCCTAACATGCTAAACAAATGCAGCTTGTTTGTAGGTTTACGTGACACTGCAGCATAAGTGTACAGTGTTTCCACCTACATTTCAAATGGGGAATGATTTGCTTTGATATATCCATTGATCGGGTTTCATTTGAATCACTCTCGTAATATTAAACTTCAAGTAACGTCAGTAGTTGAAATTTTGAAATTAAACCATTTGTATGGTTTAATTTATGTATTGCTGGTATTATTAAAAAGCCTAGCAATTTATGTACACATTATGTGACATTGCCAGCTCGTATCCTATAAACTATCTTTGTAATTACCGTTTTTGTAAATTTTTAGTCGTTAATTGACTATCGCTTTTTACTTTGAGCTTCTACTGTTCTTTCTCATCTTGATAAAACGTTGGATTGCATGAAATGGCCCATTTATTAATAAACAGTTAATCTTTCTCAAAAAGATCATGGGAAACAAGTTATCACTTGTTCCAGACAATCTCCTTGAATTCCAGCACATAAATGGGACAACTCTTGCCTCTTCATTCATTTAAATATCATTCAATGTTCCTATTTAATTTAAGCATTTTCATCTTGAAGATGACTTTGTCCAGAAGCAAATTAAATTAAATTATGTTGAATATTTGTTTCCATTGTAATTTGTTATGTTGTCGAGCTGCAATTTTCAAACATTGCAGACCTATAAATTTCCATGGTATCCGTCTATATATCTGTCCTTCCTTAATCTCGAGAAGGAGCTAGATAGCTGAAAGTCGAGACTGGATATATATATATAGAAGCTTAGAGGCAGAAGGCCTCAATTAACTATGTATGAACTTCTAGTCTGAACTGGAAGTCACATTATTTCAACTCAAAAATTTTCTCCTGAACAGAGTTAGATACGATGACCGGCTCGACTCTTCTTAACAGGAAAAATATAACACATGGGAGCAAAACAGTATTAAAATTGAGAGCAAGTGAAAACATTCTGTGTATGATTCTGTTAATTGTTGTTGGTACGTTCCCAAACTGTATCACTCAAGAAGCATTCATTGCCAAAGTATACTTTTAAGGAAATCTCATAGCCCAGATCGGGCAACAAGTATAGATCTGGGCTATGCAATCACCTCTTTGGATCTTTAAAAAAACATGGTGAATGTTCTGCCAATTCCGATAGCACTCGAATAACCAGTTTGTTGATAAACCAGTTGCAAATTCATAAAATTCAAAATATGGAAATAAAAATAATAATAATAATAATGATCTTTCAAATTTAAGAATGCTTTATGTTGTTAGAATTGATAAATTGTATTGTTTTATCAATTTAAAGGCAACACAAGAAAACATTGAGTCAATATTTCTTTTTAAATAACCATTCTGTAATGACACAAAGCTTTTATTGAATGTTTCTTTTCAAATTTTGAAATTATTGATGGAAAAATATATCAAAATAAATCAACAAACACCTTTTAGACTGCTGGGATTCACTTTTATTTAGCAAATGTTTTGAACCTAGTCTAATAGGCGATCTTCAGGCTAACGATCTTTCTTGGAACATATTTTTCCGTTAAATGTCATTCCAAAATAGAACACAAAAATGAATAACTACGTTTAAATATCCGAATATAAAGTCAAAAATATAAAAATTAATATAAATAACGAGTAACAGTAAAATGTAAAATAAATAACTCAAAAAATATACAAAAAATATATAGCAGAAATGATGCAATTATGACCTTCTAATCTTATTCTGTACAATGTATTTCCGTGCCGTTGCTAAGCTGTCGTCATCTCTTGCATTAATGCACTTATCCTTCAACCTGCTTTTGTATATTTCAATTTTTTCAGCAGTCTGTGCCAACGTAGGGAAGTGTACAGAATTAATGAAGTTTGCCTCTTCTCATTTTATCACTGAGCCCTCAGTCTGTCATCCTGGAGAGTACCATGTTATTGCATCCCTTTCTTACATTATATTGATGTTCTTTAAGTCTAATTTTCAAGTTTCTTGTGGTGACTCCGATGTAATCCTTGTCTATCCTCAACTGCACATTTTCATATGGTACCCTGTACACACCTGCCATTTCTTCTATTTCTAACCTATCCTTATCGTGTCTTAAAATTTAATACATACTTTGGGCTCCTTTTACAATCATATTAGACCTTTTACATTCTGTGATTTCTTTCATAATGTTAGTTATACCTCTGTTAAGGGTGAATTTCATAGTTCTGCTAGGTTTGTTAACTTAAAACCTAAGCAGACTTTCTATCATGCTAGTTCCATATCCTAGTGTTGTAGCCATTAGTTTAATTCTGTATAGTTCCTTCATTCTGTCTATTACATTATCGCATTATAAAAAAGTTCTTCTGGTGAGTGCCTGGAATGCTGCTAACTTGTATTGATAAGGATCATTCAAATTGGAAGGGATGTACTGTACAGTGGGCTGTGTTGGCTTGATGTATACACTTGTGTGTATACTTCCATTTTTAAATTCTATATTTATATCCAAGAAATGCAGTTGTAGTGAGCTTTTTTATTCTATTTTCAATATAGGCCCATCCTCGTTAACGTTAAGCTTATCAATAAATTCAATGATGCCTTTGTTATTCTTCCAAATTATGCATACATCATCCACATATCTTTTAAAATATATAATATCCACTTTGAAGCCATTCATAATCCTTTTTTCCAGCTTTCATAACACTAATTCACATAACACTCCCAATATGGGGCTCCCCTTATATATTTGGTTATTAAAGCTAAAAAAGGATTTATAGCATACCAATCTTGCTAATTCTGTCATGTGATTGGTGTAATTCACTAACTTCGGAATCTGTAGGAGCATAAATTCCATTAATGCTGTAAAACATAATTCTACTTTTATCAAAAGGTACAAGTTCTCGTAGTCTATTACTGTCCCTATTTCTTCATCCATTAACATTAGGTCTTGTAACTGTTTCACCACTATTGTTGGGTCCTGTGTAACCAATATACTGTTCTCAAGATCGGTGGTAATGTATTTGTGCAATTGTTTCTCAATAATATATGTCAGTCCTCTACATTTTTTCCACCATCGGTCTTATTTACCGAGCTTCTGTGTTTTTGAAAATGCAAATATCTTGGCATTCCTGGTCTTATGCTCCAACATTTTTTAAAGAAAATTAACACATTGGTTAGCTTGGTTTTTCTAGTTTTTTTTTTTAACCAGTTTGATGTGTTCAATAATTTTTATGTCAATCTTTTCGCATTCTGTTTGTTCGATATAATCCTCCAAACTTTTGTTGTACGTTTTCCTTCTCATAATAACTAAAAGCTTGCTTTTTTCTGCTCTTGTTAAGATCAAACCTTCCACTATCAACCATTCTCACATTTGTTTTATGTCCTCATTGCTGATGCTTTCCTTTTTCTTTTTTATTTAGTCTTGTATAACTGCTTTCCATCTGAAGTAATCTTTTTCCACATCACCAAGTCCCAAAATTCCTCTCTCCAGTTCTAGAAGTGAGGTTTGCCACAACCCTGCATTAGCCGGAACAAAGTTCGGGCCTTTTTCGAGGACCTCTCTAACTTTTTTTCCCTCTCAACTTGCTCCCGTAAGATAAATGGTGAACTATTCTTTTTTTTTCTGTTTTTCAGTATTTGCGTAACAGACCATATATCTTGTCTGTTGTTCTCTATGTTTAAAGACACTATATTTGCTTATTCTCATCAATTCATGCTTTACACTGCATAAGATAGTTGATACAGGCAAAAAATTTAGTACAAATTGTTCAGCAGTATCACATATTGTAAACAGAACACAGACAGACACTGTTCTAACATATCTAGAATCTGAAGATTTTGAAATTTTAAATTTTATTTACAGGATGAGCCGAAACCTAATTTACCTCATTATCGGGTTTTACTCAAATATCATTTATGTTACAATCTCTTCAATATTTCTGCCCTCGGTTTGAATCTGGATCTCCTCAACCTCATACTGAAGTTTAACTTCACATTTTAAAGACCATCTCTTAAAATAACTAAGATTTCATACTCAATCAATAATTCAAGCTCTTTCCAAAGTCATTCTCAATGTGTGTGAACGAAAAAAAAATTTCAAGGATTCAAATCTGGCAAGTTGGTTCCTTTTCACAATTCAAAGATTGTCAAAGTTAAGGTGAAAACATTAATATAATTGGCTTTGAATACTGATTCGAATGATATACGAGTAACGGTCGGCTTATAGTCCATAGTCCAATGGCAGAGTGGAGTTTCGAGGTAGCTACCGTGTTTCCCCGAAAATAAGACCTAGCACAGATTTTGCTGAATTGCGAAATATAAGACCTCCCCCTGAAAGTAAGACCTAGCGAAGTTTTTTTTAGTCGTAACGGTCATCCACAGATGGTTGAAAGTGGCCGTTGGCTTTTTGAAAGTACAGCCACTGATTGGTCAGCAGATAATTACGCCACACGGCATGATTTGCATAAGACTATGGCTTGGGAATCACAGATTTCCATAACGTTAAGGCTGGTGATGGCTAATTGGTCGGCCGGGAATCATGCTACATGATATTTGCATAGTGCTACGGTTCAGTAAGCACTAATTGGTCATTGAGTCCAATGTTGACGCTATAAAAAGGCGACAGTTCGACACACCGGATATACGTCACTCTCCTCTAAGTTCGACTTGGGAATTTTTTTGTTCAATAATAAATGTGTATTCTTCTTCCTGGAAAAAATAAGACATTCCCTGAAAATAAGACCTAGTGCCTTTTTTAGAGCAAAAATTAATATAAGACACTGTCTTATTTTCGGGGAAACACGGTAGTTGTGGCCAGAACCGAGAACTTCATAGTCAAACTTGGGCTGGTGGCTAACTCGGCATGGCACGGTGTTTACATCAAACAACTCCTGATTGTGTTGTTAGACTAGAAGTATGTGTCTACGGTTCGACATCTAGAAGAAGCAGAGAATGGCAAATGTGACGGAACTCCGCTGTTGCGGCACCTCGCTGCATCAGACACTTAAGATTTGTCTACTTCTTTGTTCATTTGTAATAAAGCATTAAGCATTGACGGGTAGATTTTGGGCTAATCTGTACATAATTTTTCTGATGTTTGTTCTTAACACACAAATTATGCAATAATGAATTCATCAAATTAATTTTTTCTTCTTTTAGGTCTTAGAGAATGAACTGTTGGGTATTTACCGCTTGCTGAAGAACATATTCTTGAAAGAAACTGATGAGATTGTCAGACTTCACATCCAAATTGCACTAGAAGAATTGAATCTCATCGTTCGTAAATATCTATCACCCGAAACAAAATTAACCAAGGAAATTAGAATATTAGATCCATTTTAAACTTTATGTTTAATAAATGAAATATTTTTTACAAATTATGTTCTGTTATTTTAATAAACAATAAATTATTCATATTTTGTCAAATTGGTTTTTCTACATGAAAAGATGTCAGTCTGCTGTTAGGGATGGTTCTAAATCCCTATATTTTATAGTGAATGATGGCTTAACCTATTCATTATCTTGTCACACCCATGCCAGGTGATCCATAATGGATGTAGATAAGCTATTGAAAAATTCCCAAAATTGTGGTATAGTATTGTAATGTTAGGACATATGAAAATGCTTATCTAATCACCTACCAAGTTGGCTCCTTTGGCATATTTGCTGAAAGGTCCACTTTGAAGGTGATAATTTGCCATTATTGGAAGTACCATTGAAGGGATTCTTTTGGAATATTCAGGAGTTTGGTTGTCACAGTTGCTGCATTCTTTGACACGAATGGTATGATAGACTGCAAGTTCCTAGTTCCTACTGCCTGGATAGTGTTACCAATCATTCTACATGCGAGTTTTGCACAGGTTATGAGAAGCAATTCAGAGGAAACACCATGAAAGTAACCACTTTCTGGTTGCAACAATGCATGGTATCATTCATCACTTGCCATGAAGCAATTCCTCACTTGAATGTGATAGCCAAATTCCCAATATTCCAAAAGAAATCTTCCAACAATGGCAGGAGGAATGAGATAAGTCCGTGCACACCGGAATCCTACTTTGAAGATTAGATAAGCATTTCCATATCCTACCAATACGGTGCTACATTGCAATTCCAGGAACTTTGATTGCATATGTAAGTGGGGCCAGCCCTATAGTATCACGTAACACTAAAGTGCTAATTCACATTAAGGAATTCATAAATTTGTACCTTATTTTGCTTTCTTACAACTAAGACAATTTTAAAAACCAATCCATCAGTTGCATGCTTTTTTAAAACATAGTTAAACCTCGATAGTGTGAATATTCACAAATGTATTGTCCCCATAAATATTAAATGGCAAACCCTTTGGTATTCATGATTTACTAAATGATTTTATATTGCAAGTAGTACTGTAATTGGCAAATTGGACAAACTTCAAACTTGAATTTTCACATAGACCTCATTACTATGTATTTATTTGATATTCTTCAGTTTAGCAGCATACCTGTAGCACCAGTTTCAGAGAGAAACAATTGGTGGTATTAAATCAAAGTTTGACTGTATATAATGGCTACAATATGAGGATAAATCAAAAATTAATCAATCTGTGTACAAGACTTAGAAAATGATTTTAAAATTGATTAGGCATCCAGATACAATTGTGTTGACTTCATTTCCTGGTCAAACTATTACTAAGGATTCTGTGATCGGTTTTTTGATTGAAAGCAATTGCAAATTTTCAAGTTTGCTAAAGAATATCAAAGACAGATTTAAAGACAGGTGAAAATTTACAAAATATCAAAATACCAGTCAACCCCCTTATAACACTGTTGATTATTCCGTTTTATATGAATTCCGTGTTGTACGAATCACTTAGATTTTACAAATATGTGAGCCGTTCACAGCCCGGCACACGTATTTGTAAATTCTAAGTGACTCTTACAACATGGAATTCATATAAAACGGAATAATCAACAGTGTTATAGGGGGTCGACTGTAAGTGATTGACAAATACCAACTGCTTAACAATTTCAACATCAAGAAATTTAATAAAAATAAATTACCATATAAATCATAAATCACCTCAGTAACATTAGTTTTATTTCCAGTAGTATCTTAAAAACAAATGTTTTTGAACAGCTTGACTGTCCTGCTTCAGATCAGTTACATGTGTTCCATTTAGAATGTTCGTTCTATCGCATTCTACATTCAATTTGAATTCAAATATTTTTGCAATTTACAAAAATTTACCGAATTAAATATTACAACTAATATATTCTATTTAATTTTATATTAACATCCTATGGGTTAAATGAGTTGTTATAATAATCTTTTGTCGTGGTATCGTAAAAAGCTTTCCAAGCATACGCTAACGAATCTGCATCTCGTACGTTAGTGCACTCTCTTTTCAAGGCTGTCATATATATTTCTAACAACTCTAAAAATTAGTTTTTTCTCTAGTAAGAGTTTTTAATCGGTGTCGCCTGCTCCAATTTAGCTTCAATTCCTGGCTCCTAGGCATATATGGATAGCACAGTTGTGTTTTCTTTTTCAATATCACATTTGTGTTCTTTAATCCTGCTTCTAAGAAATCTATTTGTGGCTCCAATGTAAATTAAATCCTTGTCAAATCTTTCATCTTTTACTGGTATGCTATAAACTCCAGCAGCTGTGGTGCTATCTGATATCCTCATCAATTCACAGAATTTATAGCACTGCCTCTTTTGTATGTTGGCTCCTTTCCTCCATTGTGTGTAATTTTTGTATGTTGGTTTCAGCTTGTCGTATTCCACCACTATGTTTTTACTCGACTGGAGTGTTTTCTGCCTTAGGTGGTATCTTGTGTATATAATTTTGTGCTGATCATTTTCTAAGTTTTATCAAGTACCCATGTGCTATTGCTATTCTCTTTATCTGCTTAAGTTCTATAATTGTATCGTTCTTACTGTGCAATGGGTAAATGCCCTCCTAATTACTGTATTTTGACGAGTATAAGTCGCTGTCAAATATAAGACGCACCCCTATTTTGAGACAAAAAATTTAGAAAAAACTGTTTTAATAGGATTGTCTAAAGATGCATTTTATTTGTTTTTTTATTCAAGAATATGATGGATGGATGAATCGATACCTTTATTAAACTGAAATAATTGTCATTTCTTAATATAAACTCAGAGGTCACGTGATGACAGTCGACAGAACACAGCGGCGATGACTCGTGTGTCGCTACTCTGATAATCTAGGTACTATAGTCATTCGGTTGAGGGACCATCTGCTTAATGGACCACTGCACAGGCTGGTCCCTAGAGTGGACCACTACTGTAGGTAATTTCACTGTAAAAATGGTTACCTGTCGAGTATAAGACGCACCATGATTTTGAGCCCCAAAAAGTAGTAAAAAAAAGTGCGACTTATACTCATCAAAATACAGTAACAATATAAATCTAACTTTATATCTAAATGGATCATTTGAGTGAGCTGGAATGAATAAAGGAATGTATTCTGGTTTATAATACACATTGGTATGTATATCCCCTTCTTTAAATTGTGACTTTTAAATCACAAAATACACCTGTATACTTGTTGCTGTTTATCAGTAAACATTAGAGAGGTTGAGGCGCACGTTTTAAACGTGTACGTGTGACGTTCGGCGCCGCTTTCCCGTAAGCCTAAAAGTTTGACGATGGTGTTTGGAATGTCGAGCGTGATTCCACCGACTATCCAAACACCATTGTCAAACTTTTAGGCTTACGGGAAAGCGGCGCCGAACGTCACACGTACACGTTTAAAATGTGCGCCTCAACCTCTCTATTAAATAACAATGCAGTAGTTATGAATTTGAAGCATATGCCAAAGTGATAATAATAAGCATCCTCTACTATAACTTTGATTTATTTGAAAATAGTAAATTAAAAATTAAATTTCATTAATTTAGAAAATTACAATTTATTCTTTAGTTCAAAAAATTTTGATGTATCTCATTCGTGGTAACAAAATAAATTAATTATTAATAAATTGGAAACGATGGGTCGATTTCATTTGCCCAAGCCGTCAATCCACCTTCTATGTCTCTCCATATAACATCTTTTAAGTTTTCTTTTAGTATTTTTACCGCTCTTTGGGAATCATTTCCTCGACGACAAACGACAAAACCTAATAATGGATCGGGCGTTTCGCCCTTTATTTCTTGAATATAACGAGAAAGTTTATCTAATTCTTCTTTTGTTTCAATTTTTGAAAAAGGAACATTAGTACAGTTTGGAAGTTGGCATATGTCCACTTCTCTGGGAGACCGAACATCCACCAAAACGTGTCGCACACCTCGGTCCAGTAGATTTTTATAGTCACCACAAGACACGCGTTCCTTGGCATTTAGAACGTTAATTTTTTGCACCTTGTCGCACGGTCCATTATTACAAAACTGATGGTAATCTATCAACTCCGAAACGGAAGGACAATCTCCGCATACGCCGCAGTGCGGATTTCTCGGGCGTAGTCTAACGGTCTTAAAACCAGAAAGAGCGTCGAACAGGAGCAACTTCCGGGAATACGTCTCCAATCCCAGAATCAGTTTGATGGTCTCTAGTGCCTGAAGGCTTCCGATGACACCGGGCACCACTCCCAGGACTCCTCCGTCCGAACAGTTTGTCACCGTTTCCGGAGGCGGAGGAACGGGGAAAAGACACCGATAACAGGGTCCTCCATTGTAATTGTAGACAGTCAGCTGTCCTTCCAATCGCAAGGCACTACCCGAAACCAGAGGTTTCCCATATATCACGCAGGCATCATTCAGCAGGTATCTAGTTGCTACGTTATCGGTAGCATCTATCACAATATCGTAGTCAATTATGATATCTTTAATGTTTTCGCTGTCCAAAAGAACAGGATAACAGGCACAACAGATGCTACTGTTCAGTTCCTTAATGGCAGAAGAGAACGATTCGGTTTTGTGAGTTTGTATGGTTTTCTCCTTATGAAGAATTTGCCTGTGAAGGTTGTTCAACTCCACAACGTCGTGATCTACAATGCCTATTTTCCCAACTCCACTTGCAGCTAGATATATGCCAGCGGGACATCCAAGTCCACCAGCACCCACTATCAACACACGACTACTCTTCAAAGCTTTCTGACCTTCGACCCCAATCTCGGGTAGTAATAATTGTCTGCTATAACGTTGCACTTCCTCCCTACTCAATCCTTCCTCCGCCATGCTCTTCGAATTCGAGCGTGGCTTCGTTCTACTTTATATTCTTGACACTAGAGGCGCTCTGAAAACCGTTTTAAAGAAGACGAGCTATTAATTAATTATAATTTCGTTCGTTAAAATAATCGATTAGCTACGAATTTAAATTAATAATTTAAGATTTAAAGTAATAATAATAGTTTAATTTCGTTAGCTGTTTGATCCGGTATATCGGACTCGGTTCGTCGCCATACCGTTTCTCCATTGTTGGCCTGGCGGAATCCGTAATGGGTGTGTGTAAAAAGTCCTCTTACGTCTGTGAGGCAAAAAGAGTAACAAAAAATAAATATATGTACTGTACAGTATAACCTCCGAATAGCGGACACCGTCGGGACCGAGAATTTTGTCCGCTATTAGGAGGTCTTTACCGGCGGCCATATTGTATTTTAACCTGATCATTACAAAGTGAAGAATATGAATGACCGAGTAGTCAAGGTAGCAGCCTACCGCTCTGGGGGACCCGGGATCGAAAAATCCCCAGGAATTTTTCAGGGAGTGGTCTGACCGGATATGTTGGACCCCGTCTTTCATCACTCGACCGTCCTTTGTGGGCCTGGCCGAACCCATAATGGGCTTGCTAAATGAGACACTCTTAGTGTCCACAGAGCGAAAAGAATAAAAAAAAAGTACAGTATTAGGAAGCTGCGATTGCCTCCGCCTCTAAGGTTTAAGCTGGCTCAAGAATAACGGATCTTTGATGCCTCAGTGCTGGTGATTCCTTCACGAAAAAAGATACCAGTAGATTATAGAGAAAGGTCATTCGGCATTGAAGCCTAAAAAGCCGGGGATGGAGACCGACATATTCAGCATACTACCCAACCGAAAATCCGTCAGGCAGTTTCGGGGTCTTCAATGGGTTCAACAGCCTCCACACAACATCAATTGTATTGATGCAAGACTGCCGAAAGACAGAGGAGCTTTTTACCATATTCGTCGTGGGTTCAGCGTGGGCACGAAGAGAATCTTTTTTTTATCAAGCCCATTATGGGTATTACCAGATTCACAGTGGGGCGAAACAGGGCACGACACGTCCGAAACAGACTGACCATAAAAAATTTCTGGAGTTGCTTGTCCGAATTCGATTTCGCAAAGATGGCCGAAGCTGTAAAGACCTGCCACTCAGGCAAACCGCATTCAAATCTGTGTCGAGAATTTTTCGTAGACTGCCTGTCCCGAATATATCGGGCCTCATCCCTCATCATTCGGTTATCCCTTGTGAGCCTGATCAAACCATGTAGGATTGATGAGATAAGGCAACGCAACGCACGAGCGACCCGCCAAGGGGAGGACTTTCTATGAGAAACTGGCCATGGTTAGATGTTAGACACATGGCCAGCTCATTAGTGAAGACCCATGACCAAACATCGGTGTCCAGTGGTTTTATCCATTAAGCTACTTGCGGGGCCCGATTATTCAGAGAATTATGAAATAATTCAAAATTTAAATCGATAATTCCAAAGGCTCTAAATTAGTAGCGAAACCGGGGAGGGCCTGGGGCCCCGATAAATAAACAAAGAAGAACTCAACTAAAAGATTTGAATTTGACAAACTTACGTGCAAAACACCCCGTTCCTGTACCTACAATGGTATAGGGATGAATGTACACTGGTGGATTACCCAATAGACTCGCGTCTAGGGTCTCGAGGGGGCCTCAAAAATTATACAGGAAAAATACAATACACGTCTAAAAATTTAGTGAATATTTAAAAAGTATATATGTCTCACCCCGGCAAGAACGGTGGGTGGCATAACTCATAAATTGACAATTTTATTGTCTTTTAAATTAAAAAAACAGCTTAAAGCATCTAAAATTCAAAGTAAAATTATAAATATATTTTGTAAATGTGCTTTTGTCGCCGTTTTCCACATTTTTATACCAAATTATTCCAGGAATTTCCTCATCTGTCAGCATTCAGTAGGATTTAAGAGTTGTCTAGAGCTTATATTTGGCACAGATTAACTCTGGCACACTTATCTAACTTTTTTATCATTTGTTTTTCGGATGTGCAAGACTATTTTAGGAATGGCGTAATTTTTATGTAAAAATATTCCTTGTAATAAACAGGAAGTTTCCTCCCCCCTGCAAAATTGCCTAGCAAATTAATTTTTAAAAATCCCTCGAGAATTTCATTGATATCCCTTTATACATTCTATAATTAGGATCGAATTTAAACTTGTGGCGTTTAGAAGGACCTTCCTCTTTCAAACAATGATATATAATATATAGGAGACTCTTCCTCTGTGTTAAATCCTATAGGACATGGCTTTAGAAGGGTTGTATTATCCCTGTTTATAATAAAATCAGATAATTAATACAAATGTTTACTTATTTTGGTTCGTCTATTAATTAAGTGTACAGTTTTTGAGTCACTTGTGACTCCCTGTTGTGTACAATGTTGTACTGTACTTACTTTTGGCAAATCCCCTCCCCATAAACTGTGCATGTAATTAATGGCCGGCCTCTTTAATCTTATCTTTTATGTTAATTAACCGTACTTTGAATACACTGTACTTTAACAGATATCATATTTTACTAGAAGAAGAGTGCGCCGCCATTTTGAAAAAAATAAAAATACCAGACACTACTCACACAAGTAGGTATTGTAGTCTATTTTAACCATGAAAAGAATACATATCGCTACTTCAATTTGAAAAAGAATACCGTGCGCCGAATCTAATTAGAGGAGAATCTCAGGGTCTTTTGGACTGGGCCCTAAATTTATTCCTTTATATAAAAAACATGTATTAAATTGTAAATTAATAAGAGGTAAAAATATGCTTTTAAGGCCTTTATTCGTATATTTTTTTTATAACATTCGGCAAAAATTAGGCCCCACGTTTGTAACTGTTTTGGGCCTTATATGCCTCTTTCACCGCATATTTTGGAATATAACCCACTTTATGAGTATATATGCATATATGCTTAAATTCCAAAGTTGGGCCTTTCGATGCGCGAGGCCCTAGATGGTATCAATTTTGTCTATATTTAGAGCCATCATACATATAAAAATTACACATATTAAAAGAATAATCTGCCTGTTGTATTTTAATTATTCAAAAAATGCATTTATATAGAAATTACAGGGCCCTAAACGTAAATAATTTTGAGGCTCCTCACAAACATATAAGAACATTGTAATCTTTATCATTTTTAATTTGAATATCTATTCCCGCACCCTAGAGTGGGGCCTTTCCTTGTGTTCGAGGTCCCAAACAATCGCCCATTATGACACAGCATAGTAATTTTACGGATAATTATCACATTTTAGCTATAAAAAGGAATATAATTATATTGTTGTGGTGTGTGTTTTAATTATAAATAATTAAAAAAAAACAATACTCTATTTTGCTTATTTTAATTGCTTACAATGATTTAAAATGTTTAGTTTGTTTAAAAAAAGTAAGCAGCCATGAAAAAACACTACGCAAAAGTAAACAAAAGAATTCATATTGTTAACTTAACAATGAAATCTACGTCACACGTCAACTTTCGAAAGAATTGACACATCACACTTGTGACGTCACCTGAGTACAGGCGGATCAACCGTTCCTATTGGCCAATAGTGACGGATTTAAAACGAACTCGTCATCTGGAGCGCCATTCGCGTTAGTAATGCGTTGTGAGGTGTACGTGTTGTTGTTACTTCTCCAGGCTTGCTTCTGGTCACGAGACGTCGACGGATATTCTTATCGCAACAATCGCACATGGAAACCAAAGAAACAACGATATCCTGTCGTATTAGGTAAATTAGAAAGTTATCTTTCGTTAATTACGTTCTACAAACTTACATTCTGGTGTAAGTTACTTATAAAGTATGGCCTTATAAAGTACTGTACTTACTACACATGACTTGCAAGTAACTTCTATCATTTGTGTAGTGTTCTCTGGTATTAAAAATAATATAATTGATATAAATTAATTCAATTTGCCTGTTTTTAAACTAGTGTAGGCATTGTATTGTATGTCTTTATATTCATTGTTTCTTATAAACACAATAATAATTGTTGTATGGAATTTCCTTGTTAATTCTCAGAAATGTTTGTCAAAGTTATAATCTATAGTGTTTTTTTTTTTAATAATTAAAAATGTAACCTTGCTCATTATTTTAATTTCCAAGTTGGGAAAAAGACGAGTAAAACAACGTTGAGCAATTTTATAACGAAAAAAGCAATTTTTACATTAATAAATTGCCTTTTTTTGCAATCCGTGTTGCGAATTCTATATTTAGTCTTTAATAATCTATTAAAATGTATCAATAAATACACTTGGAAATGTTGTTAGTAAACCAATCAATTGCTAATCTCCGACGGCATCCAAAATATATATANTAATATCAATATAAATCTCTTACAATATATATACGAAAGATTAAACTATTTTGCAGTAAATTCATACCTAGATTAAATTGTATTCAAGACAGGTTAGTTTAATTGCTAATGTGATAATTTAGCCTATAATAAAAGGATGTCTCAGCAAAAGAAGACTGTTTTGTTCCTGGTACGGAATAAAACTGAAGATGATTTAGTTTTTTTATATTTTTTAAATTGTGATAATTTAGTTAAACATAACTTTTGGTAATTCCTAAAAGACTTAATATTATCTAATAGCTATTTTATTTAAAACTTTTATATAGTTTTTATGAATTCTAAAGAAGAAAACTATGAAATATTTTAAAACAAATACTTCAGTTTTAACTTAATGATTTAATTTTTTTCAGAAATTCTCCTCTTGTGGAAAAATTTAGCAAAAAGTTCCCTGGAATGTCACTCTTACCAATGTTGTCAAAATTTTCATTACCAATATCTCTTAGTCAGTTAACTAATCCATTAAATCTACCTCATCAACATGTAAGTTTTTCTATTGCATAACTTTATGCAATAATAAAATGTCATAAAAATATTGTACTTGTCACGTAATGCATTTCTTATTTGAAAAAACTGATAAAAAGTTGTGTTTTAAAATTAGGCTCAACAAATACAAATGGTTGTCTGGATGCTGCAACATCGTTTATTGATGCAACTTCATACATATATAAATTTAATATGTTCAAATAAGATGCAAACAAGTACTACAATTTATTTTCAAGAGAACAATTATAGATATCCATCTATGGAAGAACCCTTATCTTTAGATCATGGAAGCAAATCAGAATCTGGAAGTCCATGTATGTAAATTAAGCAGATAAGTTTTGAAAAAAATAAAATAATACTTCATTTTAAATATTGATATATTTTTATAGATTATGACAGTTTTAAAATTGATTTCAATCAGTAGTTCTTATATCTTTACTCTGAAAGAAAAGAAAAAATGCACATCAGTATCACCGATAAAGCATTTTTAAGGAAATAAAAGTGATTTTTAATTAGAAATAAGCTTAAAAACTGGATTAATTTCAGGATAAAACATTACTCAACTTTTTTAAAAATTAATCTTTAAATAAAAGATACAAGATGACAATATAATGCCTGTTCTTGAAGAGAATTTTGACTTTTTTTTAAATTAGAAACTTAAAATAAATATGCCCTAAATAAATAGTTTAAGACCGTTCTCTCTAAATAAAACACGTTAGCAATTAGTTAAATTATATTTAATAATTTAATACAGAATTAATTTAATTTGTTTTTAGGCATATTATCAAATACATAGGCTAATTATATGGAATTTATCTTAAAATATTGTCTGGAGATACTTCTGTGTAGCATTGTTTTATTAATGTAATTAACATATTTTTAGATGGTTAGTCTGCATTAATTAATTTAAAATGTGTATCGTTTAACTGTTTTTAATGGTCGTTAAACTGTATTTGTATAATAATCCACACAAATTGGGTTAATTTTTGGTTTATAAGAAGATATACGCTGAAAATAATGGAGTTTGGCTTATTAGTATGATTGAGTTTATAGAAGCTACATAAAAAAAATCTATTTAATGTATGAGAATATAAGTATGACATTACAAGTTGGTTAATGAATGAATTTATTTAAGTTTGCCGAACATTGTCTTCATCAAATTGTAAAAATCAATAATAAAAACTGAAGTGTTTATGAACTTTATACAAATATCTTCCACTTATTCTCTTCAAATTAAAACACAAACAGTATTTTTGACTTCGGTAAATTTAAATTATAGAAGTTCATCAAAATTGCCAGATTACCGGAGAGAAAAGTGCAATTGTTGGGTGATAAATTCAAATCTCGAAGTCTTAATTCGTCTATTAATGAGCCAACAATGAGGACGAATACCTCGTTCGTCCTTGTTATTGATCCACCAATAGATGAATTAAGTCACGACAAGCTGAGCAAAGAAAGTCAAGTTCATTGCTCGCATTTGTTCATGCTTACTAAAATGAAATCTGATTATTCATTGATCCGTATATATGTAAATATTATAAATACTAAGTTTATTCATTTCAAATAAGTTTCGGTATAAGTTTCTTTGTGTATTGTACTGAACTTACAGCTGTACTGTAGTTTAGTTGCGTGTACGCAGACGCCAATGTTACCATAGTCATTGTCATGTGAAGAGTTTTGCAATTCTTGTTAATAGTTTTATTGGCTAATTCTTCGAATTTCAAAAAAACTTTCTTTTATTATTCTAAATATAAAATGTAGTAGTTTATTAATATAAAAGTGTGTATTAGTAGTAGCATACACTAAAGTTTTGGTATTTCCTTGACCCATTTCTAAAATTGGTATAGAATATGGAGTAATGATATAGGTTGATGTTAAGCATGAAGTTTTTTGAGATGCACATACACCTAATAACCCAAATAATCATTCAGGAAAAATGTTTTAAATGTTAAAAAAATATATCGAGAGACCGATTCATTGTTTATTTATCAAACTTAAAAATTTTCAAGGTTTTATAATTGTGTAGAAGGAAATAAATTTGAGAGGTTAAGCCCCATTTTGTTCAAATATAGATTTAACATTACAAAAGGTATTTTAAGGTTGTCTGCCTAAGGGTAAAACTTCAACATGTTCGTAAAATAACTTGCAAATTATTCTACAACATTAATTTTAATTTTTTTTTTTTTTTTTTTGCTTAAGTCTTCAATTTATTTAATGTATTCAAGAAAATAAAATAGATAATTCTTTAGAAAAAATATAAATAAAAAATGTTCTTTAGGGAATTTTTTTTACTTGCTTAATTTAATTTGCAAGATCTTTATTTGATTGTTCGTCAGGTCTACTTAAAAAATGGAATGCTTTTCGGAATGTTAATGAAATTTCGAAAAAGAAAACAAATCTTACGAACACAAAAACTATAAAAAAATAGCGACATAACAATTTAACTACAGGAAAAGTATAAGAAAAATGTTTTTTTTTTTATTGAATGAGACTTTTTTAAGTAGATCTGAAGATGATCTCGCCTTGAAAAACATCAGTTTTTAAATATCAGTTGATATTTAGCTTTTTTTGTTTCCTGTATTGTTTAAGTGTATTGATGCTTTTATTAGTAAATTATTGTTAAATCAGATTGACTGTTTGAATTCACCTTTAGTTTTATTAAACAAATTTTAACTAATATATTGAATACATTGGTAAAATTCAACACAATTTTAAAGTCTCTCTGAATATTTATTCCAATAGATCCATTGTAATGCAGGGTTAAATATTTAAATTGAATCATATCAATTCTGTTTGATTTACATTTCATACTTTAAACATTATTAAATTTTCATGAACATATAAATTAATAATTGAATATGCAAAAAGTACAGAAATTACTTTGCTTACAGGTGTTTCGTGTTGAATTACTAAATTTTTTATTTAGTAATTCAACACGAAGCATCAAGTTATTTATTTATTTGGCAAATAATTAAATATTTAGTACCATTAGTAATTGAATTAGTAATATTGTTTTCTATATTAAGGATTATTTTAATATACCTTTAAGTATGTTAGATTTTGACGATTCTGTGTAAGAAAGTGCTGCTGTTAGTGCTGAATTGCCACTGGACATGTGAGATGTGTATTTTGAAACCCCAAAATTGGAAAAAAAAATCATAATTTATAAATAACTTTATAGTTCAATTACATATTTGCTGTAAAATTACCTAGAGGAGCTTTCAATCTTATGTACCTAGAAGATCCAAAGTCTTATCCTGCCATTGGCTTTTATTTGTCATTCATATACTAGTATTTCATAATATCGACTTTCTATTCTGTTTTAATTGCAATAACTTTAATTAAAGGCCATTAGACTTCTCCAAACTTCAATCAAAACTCAGAATTACGTGAAAGTTATACTTGGAGTCAAACTCAGTTTTCATACAAAGCACGTAGACATTAATAACCCATATTTTTATAATAATGATTATTAATGATGCTAACTTATTAAAATATTATAATGTTATATATATGTAAAATGTTTTGATAAAATGTAACTCATTTTAAAGTTTTTAATTCACGAAAGAATCTTTCTTAACAATAGTCGTCCAGACCTGTGTTATATATAGCCTTTAGTCAGCTCTAATAAAAGTCCAGAAAGGTTAAATATAACACATTCCTTTCTTTAGTGGAGTTAATGTATATAAATTTTTGATGTTGAAGATCCTTTCAATATCAACATTTATCTTAAAAAGTAATTAATTAATTTAAAAAGTCATAATTTAACTTCAAAAATGTGTTCTACAGTATTTTTGAGTGTGTTGAGAGTTTTGTTTGAATGAAATACTTTGATGCATTTGAAGATGATGCTTCAAGCTTCGAAAAAATTTATATAATATTAAATAAAGGC